CAACTCCTCTGTTACGCCAGCTTCACTGGTTACCAGTTTGCTACCGGTCACAATTCAAAGTGCTGAGTTTAGCCTATAAAGCCCTAAACAGTTCTGGCCCAACTTACCTATCCGAACGCATCTCCCCTTATGAACCATCTAGAACCTTAAGATCATCTGGGGGGGTGCTCTCGTTACCACCTTTGTCACAAGTATGTTTGGTGGAGACGAGTGACAGGGCCTTCTCAATGGTGGCCCCTCGGCTATGGAACGCCCTCCCTATAGATATTAGATCGCCCCCCATCCCTTTTAACATTCTGGAAAAAAGTCAAGACATGGGCTGAGAAAGGTGGTATACAAATACAGTAAATAAATAAATAAATAAATAAATAAATAAATAAATAAAGGCATTTTGGGATAAGGTAACTACAGAGACAAATAAAATGCTACATAATAAGATTTTTAAAAGCCCAGGGTTGTGCCTATTAGGTCTACATAGAGAAAACAATAATCAAAGGGACAAAGACATACAGTATATCAAGATAACCATAGCCAAAGACTGGAAAGTGAGGGAAATGTTAAAAGAAAGGATCGGAGGGAAAGATTGTGGGAATATATGATCATGGCCAAATTAACCAATAATAAGAGGAACAAAAGCAATGAGGACTTTTTGGAAAAGTGGAAGTTGGCCATGGCATATCGGAGTGGAGAGTCAGCAACATAGAGGAGCCCCATTAGCAATGTATGATTAGGATATGAACAAAGATAGATGATGGAAGTCATGGTGAAAGGCACATGGGTGGGGGAAAGGGGTGCTATCTGGTGTGGGATATAGGTTTCAGGTGTATGGATGGTTTGTAATATGTTGTGTGCTGTTGTTTGGTTGTTTCGGTGAATATTAATAAAAAATATACCAAAAATGTAAAATGATAAAATAAAAATAAAATAATAACATTTAAAAATAACAATCGATCATTGTATCTAAAATAATAATGCCACTGAAATTAAATTATACGATAAAAATAATAAAATAGTAGGTTGCTTTGAGTTTTCCAGGCTGTCTGGGCATGTTCCAGAAGCATTCTCTCCTGATGTTTCATCCACATCGATGACAGGCATCCTCAGAGGATGTGAGGTCTGTTGGAAACTAGGCAAGTGAGGTTTATATATCTGTGGAATGTTCAAGGTGGGTGAAAGAACCCTTGTCTGCTTGAGGCAAATGTGAATGTTGCTATTGGCCACCTTGATTAGCATTGAATTGCCTTGCAACATCAAAGCCTGGCTGCTTCCTGCCTGTGGATCCTTTGTTGGGTGGTGTTAGCTGGCCTTGATTATTTCCCGTATGGAATGCCCCCTTTTTTTAAGTGTTGCTCTTTATTTATTGTCCTGATTTTAGAGTTTTTTTTAATACTGGTAGTCAGATTTTGTTCATTTTCATAGTTTCCACTTTTCTGTTGAAATTGTCCACATGCTTATGTATTTCAGTGGCTTCTCTGTGTAGCCTGATATAGTAGTTGTTAGAGTGGTCCACCATTTCTGTGTCCTCCAATAATATGCTATATCCACTTTGCTTCATCAGGTGCTCTTCTATGTCTGACTTCTCTGTTGAATAAATCTACAGAGCCTTTCCTGTTCCTTGATTCATGTTTGGGCAATTCTGCTGCATTTGGTATACCTTGGGAAGTCTCACTTGGCCACGGTGGTCCACGCTCTTGTTACATCCTGAATAGATTACTGCCAACGCACTCTTATTTCTCATGCCAGTAAGGTAATGCTCAAGATCCTGCAAGGAAAACTCCAGCAATACATGGAGCGAGAGTTGCCAGATGTACAAGCTGGGTTTAGAAAAGGCAGAAGAACGAGAGACCAGATTGCCAATATCCGCTGGATCATGGAGAAAGGCAGGGAGTTTCAGAAAAACATCTATTTCTGTTTCATTGACTATTCTAAAGCCTTTGACTGTGTGGATCATAATAAATTGTGGCAAGTTCTTGGTGGGATGGGCATACCAAGCCACCTTGTCTCTCTCCTGAGGAATCTGTACAAGGACCAAGTAGCAACAGTCAGAACTGATCATAGAAAACAGACTGGTTCAAGACTGGAAAGATGTACGGCAGGGTTGTATCCTCTCACCCAACTTATTCAACTTGTATGCAGAACACATCATGCAATGTGTGGGGCTTGACAAATGCAATGCTGGGGTAAAAATTGCTAGAAGAAACATTAACAACCTTAGATATGCAAATGATACAACTTCGATGGCCGAAAGCGAGGAAGAGCTGAGAAGTCTTCTAATCAAGGTGAAAGAAGAAAGTGCAAAAGCTGGGTTGTAGTTAAACATAAAAAAAACCCCCCAAGATTATAGCAACAAGAATGACTGACAGCTGAGAAATAGAAGGAGAAAACGTGGAGGCTGTGACAGACTTTGTATTTCTAGGTGCAAAGATTAGTGCAGATGCAGACCGCAGCCAGGAAATCAGGAGACACTTCTTGGGAGGAGAGCAATGTCCAATCTCGACAAAATAGTGAAGAGTAGAGACATCACCCTGGCAACGAAGATCCGCATAGTTAAAGCAATGGTATTCCCTGTAGTCACCTACGGATGTGAGAGCTGGACCATAAGGAAGAATGAGTGAAGGAAGATAGGTTTTGAACTGTGGTGTTGGAAAAGTTCTGAGAGTGCCTTGGACTGCGAGGAGATCCAAACAGTCCATACGTTAGGAAATAAAGCCCGACTGTTCATTGGAGGGAAGGATAGTAGAGGTGAAGATGAAGTACTTTGGCCACGTAATGAGAAGAAAGGAAAGCTTAGAGAAGACAATTATGCTGGGGAAAATGGAAGAAAAAAGGAAGAGGGGCCGACCAAGGGCAAGATGGATGGATGGCATCCTTGAAGTGACTGGATCGACCTTAAAGGAGCTGGGGATGGTGATGGCCAACAGGGTGCTCTGGCGTGGGCTTTTCCATGAGGTCACAAAAAGTCAGAAATGACTGAACAAATCAACAACAACAATAACGCACTCTACGTGGGGCTGCCTTTGAAGACTGTTCGGAAGCGTCAACTAGTCCAGCGCGCGGTAGCCAGATTGCTCACTGGAGCGGCATACAGAGAACATATGGCTACCAGTCAGCTTCCGAGAACAATTCAAAGTGGCTCCACTGGCTACCAGTCAGCTTCCGAGAACAATTCAAAGTGCTGGTTTTAACCTTTAAAACCCTGTATAGTCCCGGCCCAGATTGGCTGTCCAAACTTGTCTCCTGTTACAAACCATCATTAGATGAAAGGCCATGTTCTCAATCCCACCACGGAGCATGTGTTGGATTTTCTTAGTGGGTCTGTAGATAGTGTGTAGGTTGTGTTTCCTCATCAGCTTCCCTATGTGATCAGTGGTTCCCTTGATGTAGAGTAGGAACACCTTTCCTCTGTCTTGACTCTTGTGACTTGTTCTTGGTCTTGCAGCTCTTCTGATGCCTGTGGTGGAGTCTCCATCGGCCTGTAAAGCCTAGGGTTTTTTGTTTTTGTTTTTTTGGTGTGTGTGCCAGGAGCGACTTGAGAAACTGCAAGTTGCTTCTGGTAAGAGAATTGGCCATCTGCAAGGATGTTGCCCAGGGGATGCCCGGATGTTTTGATGTTTTACCGTCCTTGTGGGAGGCTTCTCTCATGTAGCTGACAGAGGGAGCTCATCCTTTACTCTCCCCAGATTCGAACCTCCGACTTGTCGGTCTTCAGTCCTGCCAGCACAAGGGTTTAACCCATTGTGCCACCGGGAGCCCAGTTAAGGTGGTTCAGTTCATCCTGGATGAGGTGAGATTCAAGATTGTTTTTGCACCGTCTGTCAGGGCTTTAATTTCAACAGAAAGGAGGAAAAAACCCACTAAAATCTGGATAGTAAAGAACATAGAATCATAGAATCAAAGAGTTGGAAGAGACCTCATGGGCCATCCAGTCCAACCCCCTGCCAAGAAGCAGGAATATTGCATTCAAATCACCCCTGACAGATGGCCATCCAGCCTCTGTTTAAAAGCTTCCAAAGAAGGAGCCTCCACCACACTCCGGGGCAGAGAGTTCCACTGCTGAATGGCTCTCACAGTCAGGAAGTCCTTTCTCATGTTCAGATGGATTCTCCTCTCTTGCAGTTTGAAGCCATTGTTCCGCGTCCTAGTCTCCAAGGAAGCAGAAAACAAGCTTGCTCCCTCCTCCCTGTGGCTTCCTTGCACATATTTATACATGGCTATCATATCTCCTCTCAGCCTTCTCTTCTTCAGGCTAAACATGCCCAGCTCCTTAAGCCGCTCCTCATAGGGCTTGTTCTCCAGACCCTTGATCATTTTAGTCGCCCTCCTCTGGACACATTCCAGCTTGTCAATATCTCTCTTGAATTGTGGTGCCCAGAATTGGACACAATATTCCAACATTCAAATAACAGGGGGATTCCAGACAGGAACCAATCAGAGCCAGCTAACACTCCCAACAAAGGATTCCCTCAGGCAGGAAGCAGCCAGGCTTTGAAGCTGCCAGGCCATTCAATGCTAATCAAGGTGGCCAATGGCAACATTCACACTTGCCTCAAACAGAAATGAGTTATTTCTCCCACCCTGGCCATTTCACAGATATATAAACCTCACTCACAGCAACCCAATAATAATAATAACTGCAGGTCCCATCATCCGTATCCAGGTTATGCAGTGTGTGTATGATGGGACCTGCACTTCCAAAATGTTTAGAAGCCTATCTTGACTCTCAATGGTGTAGGTTCCTTCTCACTCTCATTGCATTTCCCTGCAAGCTGGATGATCTTTCCCCAAAGCCTAGGGCGGTGGCGTGAATTGCCTCTCTTTTCTTTCTCTAGGCTTGAGCCAGGGAAGAGAGCAGCCAATAGGACGGTTGGAAACAGAACTTCGCTTCCCGGCCGCCGTTGCTCACAATGCTACTCTCATGGCTTAGCGCTTCTGGGAAGTGTAGTCTGGGCGTGGCCAGCTCGGCGTTGAAACCAACAGGCCTCTCCTCCCGGCGGGACTACGACTCCCGGCGTGCTTTTCGGCAAAGGCAGAGCTTATGAGCTAAACAACCATTTCGGTTGGGTTCCACAAATGGTTTTTTTTTAACATGGCTACGAGAGGAGAAACCCGGGTGAAGGTTGCTTCTGGGAGCCAGAGGGAGCTCGGTTGCTAGGTTACCGAGCCAGAAGCCCCTTCTCTGCGGCCTTGCATTGGATTCTCTCAGAGGCACAGCTCCTTGTTTATCTATTTATATGCATATATAGAGCTATATTTAGGAAGAAGCTTCCATCTAGCTTTAAGGCTCCTATGCTTTTGTGACTTGGGCCTTGGTAGACCTTTCTTGCTTGGTCAAAGAGGACGTTTGAAAGGACACCGGCGACCTGGTGTGTTTGACTTAATTTATGAAGGCTTGGCTCCATTTTAAGGTGGATTCATTTTTGGTTTCAAAATTGTGCATCTGTTTTTAAAATCTTGTTCGCCGCTTTGAGTCTCGATTAAGAGAGAGAAGAACACAGAAGTTTTTCCCAACCTATCAATTTATTCATATTTATATGCATATAAATACATAGAGGAAGAGGCCTGCCTTTTGGGCCTTGCGGGAATGTGAGGGCCACGGTTTCAAGGAGGCCACTGTGAACATCGCCATGGATCTCCGTCAGGCTGTCTACAATGCCGCCCGAGAAGGGAAACTGAAGCTGCTGCAAAAGCTCTTGGGAAGCCGGAGCCGGGAGGAGTTGGAGGAATTAACGGCTGGCCCTGGAGGAGGAGAAGGAGCCGGCAGCACTCCATTGCTGATTGCTTCCCGCCACGGCCACCGCGAGGTGGTGGAGTACCTCTTGGACCATTGCGGGGCCCGAGTGGAGGCCGGCGGGTCAGTCAACTTCGACGGCGAGACCATCGAAGGGGCGCCTCCACTGTGGGCTGCCTCGGCCGCCGGCCACTTGCCAGTGGTGCGGTCCCTTCTGGAGCGAGGGGCCTGCGTCAACCAGACCACGCTGACCAACTCCACCCCACTGCGGGCGGCCTGCTTCGACGGGCACTTGGCCATTGTGCGCTACCTGGTGGGGGAGCGGGGTGCCGACCTGGAGGTAGCCAACCGCCATGGCCACACCTGCCTGATGATCTCCTGCTACAAGGGCCACGCTGAGATCGCCCGCTACCTCCTGGAGCAAGGTGCCGATGTCAACCGCCGCAGTGTGAAGGGCAACACTGCCTTGCATGACTGTGCCGAGTCCGGCAGCCTGGAGATCCTGCGGCTGCTGCTGGACTCCAACGCCCGCATGGAGAAAGATGGCTATGGGATGACGCCGCTACTCGCCGCCAGCGTGACTGGTCACACTAATATCGTGGAATACCTCATTGAAGGGGCACTGGAGGAGCCGCTGGCAGCTACAGCACACGAAGGGGCACCTGGAGCTGATTGTGACAGGGAGCAGTGTGAGGAGGAACCCGACAATGGCAGCTCTGTCACCTGCAAGAATCGTGTTTACTGCACCCGGGAGGCGGCTGTGGAAGCACTGGAGCTCCTGGGAGCCACCTTTGTGGACAAGAAACGTGACCTCCTTGGCGCTCTCAAGCACTGGCGGCGAGCGATGGAGCTGCGGCACCAAGGTGGGCAGTACCTCTCCAAAACCGAGCCCTGCCAGTTGGTCCTGGCTTATGACTACGCCCGGGAAGTGAGCACCATGAAGGAGCTGGAGGCTTTGGTGACTGACCCAGATGAGATGCGGATGCAGGCCCTGTTGATCCGAGAGCGTATCCTTGGCCCGTCCCACCCAGACACATCGTACTACATCCGTTACCGGGGCGCTGTCTACGCTGATTCGGGCAACTTCGAGCGCTGCATCAACCTGTGGAAGTACGCCTTGGAGATGCAGCAGGGCAACTTGGAGCCCCTAAGCCCGATGACAGCAAGCAGCTTCCTCTCGTTCGCTGAGCTTTTCTCGTACGTGCTTCAGGACCGCTCCAAGGGCACCTTGGCCACCCAGCTGGGGTTTGCTGACCTCATGGTGGTGCTGAGCAAAGGCGTCCGTGAGGTGGAGCGGGCCCTGCTCCACCGGAAAGACCCTGTGGCCGATTGTGCCCAGTTCACCAAAGCCCTCGCCATCATCCTCCACCTGGTCTTTCTCTTGGAGAAAGTGGAGTGCAGCCCAGAGCAAGAGCACCAGAAGCGCCAGACCATCTACCGCCTGCTGAAATGCAACCCCCGGGGCAAGAACGGCTTCACCCCACTGCACATGGCGGTAGACAAGGACACCACTGCCGTCGGCCGCTACCCTGTGGGGAAGTTCCCCTCTCTCCATGTGGTGAATCTCCTCCTGGAGTGTGGTGCTGACCCGGACAGCCGCGACTACGACAACAATACCCCGCTGCACGTGGCCGCACGAAACAACTGCCCGCTTATTATGAGCGCCCTCATGGAGGCCGGGGCCCACATGGATGCCACCAACGCCTACAAGCAGACGGCGTACGAGCTCCTGGACGAGAAACTCCTCACCAAGGCTATGATGCAGCCCTTCAACTACGTCACCTTGCAGTGCCTTGCCGCCCGAGCCCTGGATAAACACAAGATCCCTTACAAGGGCTTCATCCCAGAAGAACTGGAGGCCTTCATTGAACTCCATTAAAGAGGGTGATGTGTGATGGACTCTCCGTCTTCCTGTGATCTGAATTTGAAAGCTTTTCTTTGCACTGGGCCCGATATACTGTTTCAAAGTAGGAGGTATTTACAGTCTCCTTCACTCTGCACAATTCTAGCAGTGCTGGGGTCCTTTGAATTACCATGGCTGTATCATCTAGATTTATAGTTTGTTGAGACTGAGAAGCACAAGGTGCTCACCAAACTGCAAATCTGAGGTTTTCTTGGTAGTTAAAGCAGTTGTCGAAGTGCTACAGTTGTGTAGTGTGAAGGAGACCTAGAATTCTGTCTCTGCCTTTACCCCCAGTGAGGTCAGAATCAATATCTGACATCCTGGTTCTGTTCCCAAGGCCCCAGGGCCCAAGGACGGATGCCTTTGCGTCCCCTGCTTCAATTCCTCTGACAGTTGGATGCAGCCAAGCTTTTTATAGCTTTCCACAGCACTCCCCACACTTTTCTAGGGATGCTGTGCTGATATATATAGAAAGAGTGACCCAGTCTGGTTGCTCCACTCACTGCTTTTGCAACATTTGCCCTTGGACCTCCTTTGAACCTCTAGCTGCCTCCTGTCCCAGAGATGGCCACTTTCAGTGTCAAGTAGCATTTGAGAGCCATTGGATGGGAGCAGGAAAGCTAGCTTGTTGGTACTGGCCCCTACTTTTCAGCTGATCCTTTTAAAACAAGTTCTTCATTTGATCTGTTTTGCAAATTTACCTTGCCTTGCTGGTTTTGGAGCTGCTGCCCTTGCCCCTTTGCATCCCCCCTTTTTTTCCTTCTCAAAATATAGGAAAGGAAATGAGGATTTCAGGCAACCTAAAGACAGTCTTAAAGTTGCTCCCTTGTTTTTTCCCCCCTTTGTTTGCATAATAGGCCAGAGAGAGCAGATTGCCTCCGGAAAATTATTTACGTTGCTGCTGAGTGTGGTGATGGTTTGCATTCTGGGTTTGAGTTCTTTGTTTGGGAATGGCTGAGTTGCATCTGGCTGTTTTTCAGGGCTGGCGCTGATAGGGAAATGATTTGCTTTTTAACCCAAACTTAACTGGTGCCCTCCCCCCCTTGCCCACAGTTTGGTTTCTCCTGATTTAGTCCATTGATTGCAGGCTTGGTGTAGCTGCTCAGAAGAAAAAGGGCGGGTTTGTGTTTTGAAACCCTAGAAGAGAAACAAGACGCTTCATCTGTTTGTGCCGTTGTGCTGTGGGAATGAGAATCATGCTGTTTTGCCTGGCCGAGTTTGATCGCAGAGGCTCCCAACGATTGAATTTGGCTTGCCAAGAGCTTAAACATCCCCCCTCCCCAGCAAGCCTGCTTTTTTTTCAGTGCCAGGTGTACATCAAAAGCTCCCAGTGAGCTCTTTCTCCAGGCCTCCTTTTGCATGCGCCTAGATGCTCATGTTTCTTTCCCTATTTGGCATAGAGCGATTCCCATGTTGGGAGTTTAGCCGAGGTCGTGGTTTTGAGGGCACTTGCACTCCCCTTCTGCACACAGATCGTATGCATTGTCGAAGGCTTTCATGGCCGAAATTACAAGGTTGCTGTGAGTTTTCCGGGCTGTATGGCCATGTTCCAGAAGCATTCCTTCCTGACATTTTGCCCTCATCTGTGGCAGGCATCCTCAGAGGTTGTGAGGTCTGTTGGAAACTAGGCAAGTGGAGTTTATATATCTGTGGAGTGTCCAGGGTGGGAGAAAGGACAAATCCCAACAAAGGATTCTCCCAGGCGGGAAGCAGTTAGGGTTTGAAGCTGCAAGGCCATTCAGTCCTAATCAAGCTGGGCAATGACAACATTCACACTTGCCTCCAACAGACAAGAGTTCTTTCTCCCACCCTGGACATCATTCCACAGATATATAAACCCCACTTGCCTAGTTTCCAACAGGAGAGAATGCTTCTGGAACATGGCACAGAAACCCACAACAACCCAGACCGTATGCACATTCGCACAAACACACAGATTGCATGCTTTGCTCGCCGTCTCCATCAAGCTTGTGTTGTTTCCTGTTGAGTTAAATTCTCGTACTGGATCTGCCAAGGAAAGTTAGGAGCAGAAACGGTGTGTTTGGAATCTTTGCATGGATAAACAGGATAAGGAAGAGTTGAGAGTGGGTCTGGAGGGATTGTGTTGATAAAAAGAGCCAAATCACAGCAGAGTTGTCAGCTTTTGGAGAAGGAGATTGTTCAGAGAAGGATCAGGATTGTTTGGGATAGTTGTAACACCTCACCACAAACGGGGCATCCCTTGACACCCGCAAAATGAAGCCAAGGTTAATGTCAAGGGGTGCTAAAAGACCATCATTCCATTAAGGGCTAAGGATTTCCTTCCAAGGGTCTTAGGAACAGGATTATGGGTGCTGCAGTTCAAAACACCTGGAGAACCAAAGCATCCCCTTCCCTGAACTAACCGTTATTTGGATGTTGGTATCCAGAGGTCAGAGAGTAGTTTCCAATGACAGATCGATCCCCCAGCATGCATTGCCTTTTGCCGTAATTCGGTTGGTATATGTACAGGTCCATCTCAAAATAGATTCTCCCAAAGCCAGGGCTTCTGGGAATATATCTGTGTTTTGATGTTTACTAAATGACCGTTGGCTGTGGTCCCCCTCTTTTGCTAAACCTTCCCTGGTTCTTTGTTACCTTTCCGACACAAAATGGCAGGACAAATCCAATTTTGGTGGTGTTTTGGTTGGAAAATATAGAATTACTTCCTCTCACCTTTGTTGCCTGTGAAGTGTGCTTCGGATTAGAAACTGGGAAGAAGGTTTGCAATACCTGGATTGCGCAGAATATTTAGTACGGAAAACAGGGGCGCTTTCCAGGAAAGTAGGATGAAAGCTCCCCTTTTTCTGCCATGACTGAACATAGAAAAGTTGCGATAGAAAATCCACTTTCTGCTTTGTTGCTTAGGACTTAAGGATCCCAATTGATTTGTTTCCTTGGTGGGTCAGGAAGCATCCCATACAGCTTTTTGTTTTTGATTTTTTTGCCCTATATCTCTGAAAGTGTGATTTCCAAAGAAAGCATCAGGTAGATTTCCTCATTTTGCTTTCGTTTCACCGCCAAGCAGAAGAATGATTTCAGCCGCTTTCGGCAGCACCGAAAATTGCAACCGCAGAATGTGTGTAGTTGGCAAGCCAACGTTTCCTGACTTGAAATGAATAAACCGGCACTTTAAAAAAAATAATAAAAAAATAAAAAAGGAAAAGAAAGAAAGTTGTGCTGCTAAAAATAACCTCCCTCCGGCTCTTTTTTTTTTCATTGCATGCAAGGAAGTACATTGGCTTCGCTTCACGGGGATCGATTTTTCTTGGCAGGAGAAGAGGAAAACCCAACTCTCTCTGAGCTTCATGAGGAGGAAAAATGCATTACCGACAGAGGAATCCCATTATGGGCCAAAGTTATGTCTAGCCAAGCATCCTGTGCCAGGAAGCAATAAGAATACTATGGATTCATCGGAGTTGTTGTTTTGCAAGGCCTTTAGCCTTCTCTGCCAAAGAGGGCAGACTACAACTCCATTGCATTCAGCCATGTAAAGTGGTGTCAAACTAAGGCAGGTAATAAATATGTTGTTATTATTTATCATTGTTATCATCCTACATTACAGACTCATCTTGTAGTGCAGTGTTCCTCAACCTTCCAAATGCCACAATCCCTTAATACAGTTCCTCATGTTGTGATGACCCCCAACCATAAAATTATTTTCATTGCTACTTCATAACCGTAATTTTGCTATTGTTACGAACCATAATGTAAATATCTGATATGCAGGATGAATTTTCATTCACTAGACCAAATTTGGCACAAACACCCAATATGCCCAAATTTGAATATTGGTGGGGTTGGGGAGGATTGATTTTTGTCATATGGGAGTTGTAGTTACTGGGATTTAGTTCACCTACAATCAAAGAGCATTCTGAACTCCAACAATGGAATTGAACCAAACTTGGCACACAAAACTCCCATGACCAACACGAAATAATGGAAGGGTTTGGTGGGCATTGACCTCGAGTTTTGGAGTTGTAGTTCACCTACATCCAGAGAGCACTGTGGACTCAAACAATGATGGATCCAGACCAAACTTGGCACGAATGCTCAATATGCCCAATTGTGAACACTAGTGGAGTTTGGGTTAAATAGGCCTTGATGTTTTGGAGTTGTAATTGCTGGGATTTATACTTCACCTACAATCAAAGAGGTTTCTGAACCTCACCAACGATAGAATCGGGCCAAACTTTCCACACAGAACCCCCATGAACAACAGAAAATATTGTGTTTTCTGATGGTCTTTGGTGACACTTCTGACACACCCCCTTCTCAATCCGACCCCAGGTTGAGAAACACTGTAATAATGCCTTTCACCAGCTACCACACCATTGGGTTTTATAGATAGACTAGCTTGAGTACCCAGTGTTGCCCAGGTTATTTTTTAAAGTCATTTTTTACTTGTATAAAGTGCATAAAGTGAACTACAACTCCCATCATGCCAGGTTAACCACAAAAAAACTCCATCAGTACTTAAAGTTTGTTGGGCAAGTTTGCTCTAGATGCATCATCGGTGGGGTTCAGTGTGCTCTCTGGGTGCAGGTTTTGGGGGGTGCTACAACTCCCACTATGGTAAGTCAGTCCCCTCAAACCGCTCCAGTAGGTTCAGTTGGTCATGGAGGTTCTGTGTGCCAACTTTGGTCCTTGGCCCATCATCGGTGGAAGTCACTCTTTCTCTAGTTATGGGTGAACTACAACTCCCAGACAAGAAGGTCAGTTTCCCGCCAACCCCTCCAGTAATCAAATTTCGGCATATCAGATATGTGTGCCAAGTTTGGTCCAGATCCATCAGTGTTTGGGTTCACAATGTTCTCTGGATATAGGTGAACTACAACTCCCCCAAATCAAGGTGAATTTCCCCAAAGACCTCTCGTATTTTTTGCTGGCCATGCGGGCTCTGTGTGCCAAGTTTGGTCCAATTCCATTTTTGGTGGAGTTCAGAATGCTCATTGATTGCAGGTGAATTATAAATCCCAGTACCTACAACTCCCAAATGTCAAGGCCAATTCCCCCCAAAACCTACCAGTATTCAAATATGGGCCTATCAGTTATGCATTCTAAATTTGGTCCAGATCCATCGTTGTTTGGGTGTAGGTGAACTGCAACTCCTCCAAATCAAGGTGCATTCCCCCAAACCTCTCCAGTATTTTTCTTAGGTCATGGGGGTTCTGTGTGCCAAATGTGATCCAAGTCTGTTGTTTGTGGGGGTGACAGTGCTCTGTCTTGATGCAGGGTGAACTACAACTTCCATCATGTTGAGTCAGTTCCCCACCTCCCTCTAGTACAGTGTTACTCAACCTTCCTAATGCCACGACCCCTTAATACAGTTCCTCATGTTGTGGTGACCCCCAACCATAACCCTAACATTATGAACTGCCATGTAAATAATGATCCACAGGATGTATTTTCATTCACTGGAGCAAATTTGGCACAAATACCCGGTATGCCCACATTTGTATACTGGTGGGGTTGGGGGGAGAGGATTGATTTTGTCATTTGGGAGTTGTAGTTGCTGGGATTTATAGTTAACATGTAAACAAAGAGCATTCTGAACCCCACCAACAATGGAATTGAACCAAAGTTGGCATAGAGAACTCCCATGATCAACAGAAAATACTGGAAGGGTTTGGTGGGCATTGACCTTGAGTTGTAGTTTGCCTACATCCAGAGAGCACTGTGGGCTCAGACAATGATGGATCTGGACCAAACTTGGCACGGATACTCAATATACCCAAATGTGAACACTGATGAGGTTTGGGGAAAATAGACTTTGACATTTGGGAGTTGTAGTTGCTGGGATTTATAGTTCACCTACAATCAAGGAGCGTTCTGAACCCCACCAATGATAGAATTGGGCCAAACCTCCCACACAGAACCCCCATGACCAACAGAAAATAGTGTTTTCTGATGGTTTTTGGCAACCCCTCTGACACCCCTTTGTGACCCCCCCCCAGGGGTCCCGACCCCCAGGTTGAGAAACACTGCTCTAGTATGTTCAGTTGCTGATAAGTTCCACTGTGTTATCTGTGCCCCACAGAAAAGAGTAGGAAAGGGTTATGGGAAAGGCAGTGGACGGGATCATGCAGATTTCCACACAACTGGAGAAAGTAAGAAACACTGGGATGTCTGTGGTGGAGGAAATATAAAATCTAGGGTGAAATTGTCCCTGAATGAAAGAATCCTTTGGTGGTGGGCCATATTATTTTTGGGGAGGACACTGGCAAGTGTTGGGCTACAAGTTCATGGAGCTTGCTATAACCTGAAATGTCTTTGGAGGGAGGGAGGGCTTTTGGTGGCTCCTCAACACTGTGGGTTAAAGCTGTTTGTGGAAGTGGACACCCCAGCCACACATAAACATTTACACTTTTATTATGGAGATAGATAGATAGATAGATAGATAGATAGATAGATAGAGATAGATAATTATTTATCATTATCATCATCCTACACAACAGATGCATCTAATAGTGCCTTTCACCAGCTACCGCACGATTCTATAGATTAGACTACTGCATTATGTCATACTTGGGACTGGCCTTGAAGACTGGCAAATACCTATTGTTTTTAGGTCATCACCTAAACCTGGGCATTGGAATGACATCTTGCCAGGTTCAAGCTGTCAAGTGGCTTTGGCTCAATTGCTGAAGTGCTGATGTTGATCAAACTTTCACATGGGTTTATATTTCCTCTCGCCTTCAAAATCAATGGAGAGGTAGGAAGCATTTGACTTTCCCAGTAGGCTGCATCAGAACCAAATTGCTCCTAGCATGCGTTTTCTCCCTGATAACTTTTCCCATCGTCATTGTGCTCTGACGGTGTCTGGCCACATATGTCCCTGTTGTAGCAGAGGCCACACTTATGGAAGTAAGGAAAACACTTGATGTGAAAGGGATCTAGGTGTCTTAGGAGACCACAAGCTGAACATGAGCCAACAGTGTGATGCAGCACCTAAAAAGGCCAATGCCATTCTAGGCTGCATCAATAGTAGGATAGTATCCTAGACTGAGGAAAGTCAAATCCAATGGAGTCTCTGGAGGTTTTTAAGCAGAGGCAGGGTTTGATTTTATTTTCCTGCCTGATGATCTTGGGGTCTCCTCCAACCTTCAGATTCTACATTTCTGTTGCCTCATTTCTCCATGAGACTTCTAATGTCTATGAGGTGAGACGGCCATCTGTTGGGAGGGTTTTGATGGCATGTTCCTGGCAGCATGGGTTTGGACAGGATGGCCCTTGGGGTCTCTTCCAACTTTAGGATTATGTATGCCACGTTCAAAAGACAAATGGGCAGAGGTGAGAAATAATAATTATTTACATAAATAAAAATATAATGTTCGTTTGTGGGATTAACAGAACTCAAAAACCACTGGACGAATTGACACCAAATTTGAACACAAGACACCTAACAACCCAATGTATGTCCTTTACTAAAAAAAATTTATTTTGTCATTTGGGAGTTACAGTTCACCTACAATCAAAGAGCATGCTGAACCTCACCAACGATGGAATTGAACCAAACTTGGCACACAGTTCTCCCATGACCAACAGAAAATACTGGAAGGGTTTGGTGGGCAGTGTCCTTTGGTTTTGGAGTTGTAGTTCACCTACATCCAGAGATCACTGTGGACTCAAACAATGATGGATCTGGACCAAACTGTACACGAATACTCAATATGCCCAAATGTGAACACTGGTGGAGTTTGGGGAAAATAGGGCTTGACATTTGGGAGTTGTGGTTGCTGGGATTTATAGATCATCTTCAATCAAAGAGCATTCTGAACCCCACCAACAACAGAATTGGGCCAAACTTCCCACACAGAACCCCCACAGCAACGCGTGGCAGGGGACAGCTAGTCTATGCATACAATAAAAGTGAAAATATGAATGTGTGTATGTTGGTGGGGTGTCCACTTACACAGACAAGCTCCTTCTCCCACAAACAGCTATAGTTCCCACTACTCGAGAGACACCGATGGCCCTCCCTCCAATGACATTGCAGGTTATAGTGAGCGCCATGAAAATGTCCAAGAGCCCTGCCAATGTCCTCCACAAACACCATACTGCCCACCACTCAAGTGAAGCCTTCCATACGGGGACAATTCCATCCTAGATTTTATGTGTTTCCTCCATACTAGTGTTTTGTTCACTCTCCAGTGGTGTGAAATTTGCATGATCCCACCCACTGCCTCTCCCATAACCCTTCCTTACCCTTTCCTATGGTGCACAGCAAACAGAGGCATTGATCAGCAACTGAACATACTGAAGGGGTTTGGGGGGACTGACTAAACATGATGGAAGTTGTAGTTCACCCTGCATGAAGACAGAGCACTGTGATCCCCTTTGACAATGTACCTGGACCATATTTGGCACACAGAACCCCCATGACCTAAGAAAAATACTGGAGAGGTTTGGAAAGAATTTACCTTGACTTATAGGAGTTGTAGGTAATGGGATTTATAGTTCACCTCAATCAAAGAGCACCCAGAACCCCACCAACAATGGACCTGGAACTAACTTCGCCCACAGAGCCCCCATAACCAAGAAAAATACTGGAGGTTTTGGAGGGATTTATAGGAGTTGTAGTTCACCTACACCCAGAGAGCACTGTGAACCCAAACAATGATTGATCTGGACCAAACTTAGCCCAAATTGGAATACTGGTGGATTTTTGGGGGGGAGGGGAGGGGAGGGGAGGAGTTGTGGGCACTGGGATGTATAGTTCACCTGCAATCAAAGAGCACTATGAACCCCACCAAAAAGGGAATTGGACCAAACCTGGCACACAGACCCCCCCCCCCCCCCCCCCCCCAATGACCATCAAAAAGCACTGGAGGTCTTTGGGGAAAATTCACCTTAATTTTGGGAAATTGTGGTTCACCTGTATCCAGATGTAAATACAATATACACCAAAACATTAAATTTGTAAAAAAAAAAAAAAAGATCCTGCATAAAATAAGAATAAACGGGCATATAACTATTAAAGGGCTTTATTTTCAGTCATGGATTCACAACGCCGTTTTCCTCGGCTGTGCCCAGCGTTGCATTGGTCCTCTCCACCTGCATGTTGTTACAGTCTCCGATTTGCACCATTTGGGCGTTCTGAATGATCAGCGACGGCTGAGCGCCTCCAAAGCCCTGGGAGAACTTGAAGGACGGGCCGAGAGAAGGCAGGTCAGGGCCTTGTGGAAGTTGAGGCATTCCCAGAGAAGGATAAAAACACTGCTGTGGTGCATGACCTGAAAATCCTTGCGGGGACGTCGCCACATAAGGCATGTTCATGTCAAGCACCGAAAGACGCTGCAGTAGCTGCTGGTCTTCCTGGTTCTGCTCTTGCAACCGTTCCTTCTCCTGGATCTGCCTCCGGAGTCTCCAAGCTGCTTTCTTGTTTTGGATATCCTTCTCTCTGAAGGTATTCTTGACCCGCTTGGGGAAAACGGGAGAGTTCTCATCCATTGGCACCAGGCACGCCAATAAGAGGGGCATCTGCTTCGGCTCGAGGGGCCTCTCCTTGGGGATGAAGGGGATCACCGTGTTGACCTTGCAGAAGCGAGTGAAGGAGTCCATGAGCGCCACGTTGGTCTTGTAGGCACAGAGCCTGCTATTGAAGTTCTCCGTCAGGAGGAAGAGGGTGAAGGCCGAATTGTCCAAGGCGTTCTCAAAGCAGTCCAGCTGGCAGCGGCCGGGAACGAGGAAATCCTCACTGTAGGTTGCTCCATTGGAGACCCCCATGCTCTCCAGCTGGGCCTTGACACGGCAGGCGATGGCCTCGTCTTCACCAGCATGAACCACGACGAAGGTGAAGAATTCATCTTCGACCTGCAGATCCATCGGCGAGGGCACAGCCAGTGGAGGGCCTGAAACAGTTTTTGAGGATGGCTTTGAGGAAGATGAATTTGCCACGGAACTTTGTGGATGCTCTGAATCTGCAGACGGAATTTGTGGATCATGCGGCAAGCTCTTTGGAGGAACTTGCTTTTCAGCTGCAGGTTCAGGGCACTGCACACTCCTTTCAGGCGAGACCCTAGAGACAGATGGATTGAAGGAAGAGCAACGGCTGTTCTTGAGATCACTGCTTTCTTCGTACTTTTCCTCTCTACCCACTAGTGATTCACCTCTGTTTCTCTCTTCGGCATCTTGTATATCGCCGCAAAGCTTGCTGATCCCAGTGCCGTAGTGCACCGAATGCGTACAAATGGGCACCGTGAGGGACTGGCTGATCTCCAAGTGGCTCACGAAGGAGGTCGGGCTTCCAGTGGATCGGAGCGGCTGAGGATCCAAGGAGTTTGGGACTGGCACCGGATCACTCGCCCTTGGGGTCTTCCCTGTTTCCCTTGAGCCAAATGTGAAGCCCATCCCACACTTCTCCAAGGCTTCATCTGTGAGACTCCGGAGACAGTCCTCGCCAATGCCACTGGATCGGAATGCGGCAATGGCTGCCCGGTAGGCCTTGTCTCTGGGTGCACAACCACACCATTTTGCATCCACCAGCAGTGAGTAGATCCGAGCAATGGCCAGTCTCACTTCAGCCTCCCCCTCCTGCTGCTGCAGAGGAGGAACAACATTGGCCGTGTTTGCCGTAGCATTGCTGTAGTGGGAAATGCGAGCCGCCACTGGGTCACCCCGCAAAGCATCCAGGTTTCTCCGGGCCTCTGTTTCTCGTTTTAAAGTCAACAGGATCATGGTTTGTAGGAGCTGAGAGCTCCGCTGGTCTTGCCGCTCGCAGCTCAGTTTATGTTTGTAGCCAGTCAGCCTCTCCTCAGGTACCTGGGCCAAAACGTGAAAGATGCCCTCCAGACTTGGATGCACCTCAGAGCTCTCCGCCATCTTTCAATATCACCTGGGAAAGAAACAGACAGGGAGGGAGCCAGGTTATGTTTTGGAAGTAGAGAAACACTGCTTGAGCCAGATCAGAGCAGAGGGTCAGTCCCTCTCTCTGCAAGTGTCCCTTGCTCCATTTTCATGTTAAAACAAAATAATAATAATAATAATATCCTCAGTTGTTGCAAGAAAATCGCACAGATGGACTACAAACAAAGGCACAACTCTGTGGCCCAGATGATTCACTGGAACTTATGTCACAAGTACCACCTGCCAGCAGTAAAGAATTGGTGGGATCATAAACCCGCAAAGGTCGTGAAAAATGAACATGCAAAAATACTGTGGGACTTTTGAATCCAGACTGACAAAGATTTGGAACACAATACACCAGACATCACAATTGTGGAAAAGAAAAAAGTTTGGATTATTGATGTCGCCATACCAGGTGACAGTCGCATTGAGGAAAAGCAACAGGAAAAACTTAACTGTTATCAAGACCTCAAAATCGAACTGCAAAGGCTCAGGTGGTCCCAGTGGTCATTGGCGCACTGAGTGCCGTGCCAAAAGATCTCAGCCGGCATTTGGAAACAATAAACATTGACAAAATCACGATCTGTCAACTGCAAAAGGCCACCTTACTTGGATCTGCGCGCATCATTCGAAAATACATCACACAGTCCTAGATGCTTGGGAAGTGTTTGACTTGTGATTTTGTGAATCCAGCATATAGATCCCGTTTGCTGTGACATACTGTGCTTTTGTGTCAGAATAATAATAATAATAATAATAATAATAATAATAAACAACTTTATTTCTAGACCACCTTCTCTCCCCGGAGAGACTCAGGGTGGTTTACACACACAAAAGGCAAACATTTAATGCCTCAGAATGGGTGCAAACACATCAAAATAATACAGGAGAATGGATAGTAACAAGAAACTTACAAAGAAATAATTGAACATCTAAAAGAACAATCCACTATGACATAAAGAACTAAAACATGAGTAAACATTACAATATACACCCTAAAATCAAATTAAGAACATTACATTAAAAATGGCTGACACCAGTGCTTCGTTTAAGACAGTGTTTCTCAACCTTCCTAATGCTGCGACCCCTTAATGCAGTTCCTCATGTTGTGGGGACCCCCAACCATAACATTATTTTCATCGCTACTTCACAACTGTCATTTTGCTACTGTTATGAATCGTAATGTAAATATCTGATATGTAGGATGTATTTTCATTCACTGAACCAAATTTGGCACAAATACCCAATATGCCCAAATTTGAATACTGGTGGGGATGGGGAGGGGGAAGGATTTTGTCATTTGGGAGTTATAGTTGCTGGGATTTATAGTTCGCCTACAACTAAATAGCATTCTGCACGTCATCAATGAATTGAACCAAACTTGGCATACAGAACTCCCATGACCAACAGAAAATACTAGAAGGGTTTGGTAGGCATTGACCTTGAGTTTTGAAATATGCCCAAATTTGAATACTGGTGGGGTTGGGGGGGTTGGATTTGTCATTTAGGAATTGTAGTTGCTGAGATTTATAGTCCATCTACAATCAAAGAGGATTCTGAACTCCACCAACAATAGAATTGAACTAAACTTGGCACACAGAACTCCCATGATCAGCAGAAAATACTGGAAGGGTTTGGTGGGCGTTGACCTTGAGTTTTGGAGTTGTAGTTCACCTACATCCGGAAACCACTTGTACGAATACTCAATATGCCCAAATGTGAATACTAGTGGAGTTTGGGGAAAATAGAACTAGACTTTGCCATTTGGGATTTATAATTGCTGGGATTTATAGTTCACCTCCAATCAAAGAGTATTCTGAACCCCACCAACAATAGAATTGGGCCAAACTTCCCACATAGAACCCCCATGACCAACAGAAAATACTGTGTTTTCCGATGGTCTTTAGCGACCCCTTGTGCGCCCCCCCCCCCCGGGGTCCCAACCCCCAGGTTGAGAAATGTTGGTTTAGGGCTTTATAGGCTAAAGCCAGCACTTTGAATTGTGCTCGGTAGCAGACTGGCAGCCACTGGAGCTGGCGTAACGGGGAAGTTGTATGCTCCCTGTATGCAGCTCTGGTGAGTAATCTGGCTGCTGCCCGTTGGACCAACTGAAGCTTCTGAACAGTCTTCAAAGGCAACCCCATGTTCTCTCATGATACAGCGCTCCAGTGAGCAATCTGGCTGCCGATCTCTGTTATTATTATTTACTTTATTTGTATACCGCTCTTCTCAGCCCTTAGGTGACTCAGAGCGGTTAACAACACGGTTTCAATATACATAGTACAAAATCATTGGACATTTAAAGCAATAGTAAACAATTAATTAAACAACAAACATCAAACATCAATATAACAAATCCAACACATCTCATCGATAGAATCAGAATCCAGTCTCATTATCCTTATTTCGTGTTCCAATAGTCGATTACACTGCCTAGTCGAATGCCTGTTCGAAAAGCCAGGTCTTCACTTTCATCCGGAATGCCAACAGGGAGGGGGCCGATCTGATCTCTGAAGGAAGGGTGTTCCACAGCCGAGGGGCCACCACTGAGAAGGCCCTGTCTCTCGTCCCCACCAGGCGCGCTTGTGAAGCTGGCGGGATCGAGAGAAGGGCCTCCCCAGACGATCTTAATGTCCTAACTGGTTCATAGGAGGAGATGCGTTTGGACAGATAGGTCGGGCCAGAACTGTTTAGGGCCAACTATCAGAACTATCTTCAAAGACAGCCCAATGTAGAGAGTGTTGCAGTAGTCCAAACAGGATGTGACTAAGGTGTGGACAGGCTGGCATACAAGAGTTAACTGTGTGAAGGTGCACCTGGAGTTCCAAGGTCAACTATGAGTCCAGAATCACCCCCAGACTGCAGACCTGTATTTTCAAGGGAAGTGTGACCCCATCCAACACAAGCTGTAACCCCACACCCTGATCCGCTGACCAAGAGTACCCTGTCTTGTCTGGATTTACTTCCAACTTGTTTGCCCCCATGCAGTCCATTACTGATGACAGGCGCCGGTTTAGGACAAGAATGTCATCCTTTGGGTGGAAAGGAGTAATAGAGTTGGGTGTCGTCTACGTAAATTTGACATCAGACTCCAAAACTCTGAATGATCTCTCCCAGCAGTTTCAAATAAACATTGGACAGCATGGGAGACAGAACTGAACCCTGAGGGAACCCACAGGCCACCGGCTAGGGAGTCAAACAGGAGTCCCCCAGCTCCACCATGTGGGTCCACCCCTCCGGGAAGGATCAGAGCCAATGCAAAACAGTGCCTCCAAACCCCATCTTACAGAGATGGTCCAGAAGGATACCATGGTTGAAACCAATATAAAAGCCTACAAATATATAGCTATTGTCCTCCCAACCCGGCTATACGCCTGTGAAATGTGGACTGTTTACAGACGTCACGCTCAACTCCTGGAACGATTCCATCAGCGCTGCCTCCGAAAAATCCTGCAAATATTTTGGGAATACATGTGGACAAATGCCAGCGTGCTGGAAGAAGCAAAGACCACCAGACCTAAAGCAATGCTCCTACACCATCAACGCTGTCCAAATGCCCGATGACCGTCTCCCAAAGCAGTTATTATACTCCCAACTCAAGAATGGGAAATGTAACATTGGTGGACAGGAAAAGAGATTTAAACATGGGCTCAAAGCCAACCTTTAAAACTGTGGCATAGACACTGAGAACTGGGAAGCCCTGGCCATTGAGGGCTCTAACTGGAGGTCAGCTGTGACCACCAGTGCTGCGGAATTTGAAGAGGCACGAATGGAGGGTGAAAGGGAGAAATGTGCCAAGAGGAAGAAGGCACATCAAGCCAACCCTCACCGGGACTGCCTTCCACCTGGAAACCTGGCCATTGAGGGCTCTAACTGGAGGTCAGCTGTGACCACCAGTGCTGCGGAATTCGAAGAGGCACGAATGGAGGGTGAAAGGGAGAAATGTGCCAAGAGGAAGAAGGCGCATCAAGCCAACCCTGAGCAGGACCGCCTTCCACCTGGAAACCGATGTCCTCACTGCGTATCAATGTGTATCAAGAATAACCTACGAACCCACCACAAAGACACCATCATGGGATCGCCTAAGTAAGTAAAGTACATTTAAAAATGAACGGTTTAAACACTCTATTAGCTTATTGATACTCTGAGGCAATAGACATACAAAATAAGCACAAGGCGATATAGCAGCACTTAAAATAATTGTCATGCTGCCCTTGCGTATTAAAAGAATAGCGTTACTCAATGCAATGTATTAAAGATAAACAGCGAAGCTATTATTTAGATGAGATAAAATCAGATGGCATAAAAGCAGTCTATTGCAATATCAGCAATGCATTGCCGAATCATAGAATCCTAGGGTTGGAAGAGACCTCATGGGCCATCCAGTCCAACCCCCTGCCAAGAAGCAAGAATATTGTATTCAAAGCACCCCTGACAGATGGCCATCCAGCCTCTGTTTAAAGCTTCCAGAGAAGGAGCCTCCACCACACTCCAGGGCAGAGAGTTCCAGAAGCAGAAAAGAGAAACCCAGGGAGTATCAAAATCTTTACTTCCCAAATAGAAAAGTTTTTAAACCAGGAAAGTATCAAACAAGAAGTAGGAACGTTTGTCCAAAACTTACCGATAGGAATGTCGGTAAGTCAGAAAGACATGTGGTTCCAAATATAACAAGGAGCATGCTAGAAAGGGACTTCCAAAGGCCATTCAGTCCAACCCCGCTTCTGCCAGGCAGGAACACCATTCGATACCTCCCAACAGATGCCCATCCAGCCTCATAGACATTATGCATGGAGAAAGAAGCGGACTGAATTGCTGAATCCTAGAGTTGGAAGAGATCCCGAAGGGCCATCTAGTCCATCCCTTTTATGCCAGGAAGGAACACAAAGCCCTCCCGAAAGATGGCCATCCAACTTCATAGACATTAAGCATGGAGAAAGAGGGTGGTGGAATAGTCAAATCCTAGAGTTGGAAGAGACCCCCCAAGGGCCATCTAATCCATCCCCTTTTAACCTGGCAGGAACACAATCAAAACCCTCCTGACAGATGCCCATCCAGCCTTTGCATACAAACCTCTAGAGAAGGAGACTCTATGTAGCTTGGAGACGAAGGCCTGTTTGGGGAGGGTGACAATTCACAGACGACACCATCCAAGCCTTCCCGGCAGATGGCCATCCAGCCTCTGCTTACAAACCTCGAAGGAAGGAGACTCCATTGTATTTCTATTGCCGAAGTGTAATGCTGCACACGGTTGAATCGAGGCAATCGCTTTTTCTTTCCTTCCTCTGCGAAGAGAGGAATGTGACTTTTTTGCCAACTTCTACTCCTTACCTGGCTCTTTGCCACAAATCCAGCAAGGCTTCAGATGCCAAAGGGGCCGAAGGAGCGGGGAGTCCCCCCAGCGATATGGGCCTTCGAGGTGGGGCATGCACAGCAACGAAACAGGAAGCGTCTGGCCTTGAATCCGAGCAGTTTCCTGAAAGTTTTGAGCCCGTTTCCTGGTTCAAAGGACAGGGTGAGAGTCCAAAATACTCTCGACAGATTGGAGAGCTGGGGCCTAAACAAACACAATGAACTCCCAACAGGAAGAAATGTGCAATATTACACTTAGGCCACAGGAATGCAATGCACAGAGACTAATTTGGCTGGAAAGCAGTCAATGTGTCCTACGAGTCTGTGCAAGCCGACAATGTTCTGCAACAGCAGCAAAGGCCAATGTGATTTTAGGCTGCATCCATAGGAGGATAGTATCTAGACTGAGGGAAGTCATAATCCATAGGGAAAGGATCCAGGAATCTTGCAGGGGTTTGGGGAAAATTGACCTTCATTTTTGGGAGGTGTAGTTCACCCGCATCCAGACATCCTGTAACCCCCACCAAGAATGGACCAGGACCAAACTAGGCACAGTGAACCCCCATGACCAACAGAACATAATGCAGGGGTTTAGTGGGAGTTGACCTTGATTTTTGGGAGTTATAGTTCACCCTCATCCAAAGATATTATGACCCTCACCAACAATGGACCAGGACCAAACTAGGCACAGTGAACCACCATGACCAACAGAACATAATGCAGGGGTTTAGGGAGAATTGACCTTGATTTTTTGGGAGTTATAGTTCACCCTCATCCAGAGATATTATGACCCTCACCAACAATGGACCAGGACAAAACTAGGCACAGTGAACCCCCATGACCAACAGAACATAATGCAGGGGGGAATTTAGGGGGAATTGACCTTGATTTTTGGGAGTTATAGTTCACCCGCATCCAGAGATACTGTGACCCTCACCGACAATGGACCAGAACCAAACTAGGCACAGAGAACCCCCATGATCAACAGAACATAATGAAGGGGTTTAGGGGGAATTGACCTTGATTTTTTGGGAGTTATAGTTCACCCTCATCCAGAGATATTATGACCCTCACAAACAATGGACCAGGACCAAACTAGGCACAGTGAACCCCCATGACCAACAGAACATAAGGAAGGGGTTTAGGGGGAATTGACCTTGATTATTTGGGAGTTATAGTTCACCCTCATCCAGAGATATTGTGACCCTCACCAACAATGGACCAGGACCAAACTAGGCACAGTGAACCCCCATGATCAACAGAACATAATGAAGGGGTTTAGGGGGAATTGATCTTGATATTTTGGGAGTTATAGTTCACCCACATCCAGAGAGCACTGAACCTAGTCGACGTTGGATCGGGACTAAACTTGGAGCACAGACCCAACACGGCCCACTGTGAATACAGGCGGGGTTTGGGGGGTAATTGACCTTGGAATATGGGAGTTGTATTTCACTCTTATCCAGTGAGCCGTCTGAACCCACCGATGACGGATCCAGACTACACTTAACACAGAGACCCAATGTGGCCAACTTTGAATACTAACGGGGTTTGGGGGAGATCAACCTACGATAGACCTAGTCTACCAAACACTTGACCTGGTTCAATGTGATGAAGTGGTTAGTAGACCGCAAGATAAACATGAGAGTCAAGAGTGTGATGCAGCAACAGCAAAGGCCAATGCAATTCTAGGCTGCATCCATCAGAATAGCGTCTTTCCCCAGATCTTTGTTCTGAGCTTTCGGCTGGTTTTTCATGTTCTTACGATCCATCATTCAATCACTTCCTTGCTCGATATTTATTAAACCAGGCCTGGGCAAACTTTCTAACTTGGGGGCCACACGGTAGCACTCCCTGCTAGGAGGACTGGCTGCCCAGTGATGGAGGGAAGGAAGGAAAGGATGAAGGAAAGAGAGGGGAAGGATGAAAAGAGAAAAGGTGGAAGTAAAGGGTGGAAGGAGAAAGAGGGAGAGAGGGAAGGAAAAAGGAAAGAGAGAAGGAGGAAGGAACGACGAAAGGGTGGAAGGGAAGGGAAGGGAAGGGAAGGGAAGGGAAGGGAAGGGAAGGAAGGGAAGGAAGGGAAGGAAGGGAAGGAAGGGAAGGAAGGGAAGGAAGGGAAGGAAGGGAAGGAAGGGAAGGAAGGGAAGAAGGGAAGGATGGCAGGAGAAAGAGAAAGTGGGAGGAGAGAGAGAGAAAAGGGAGGACAAAAGGGAGGAAGGAAAGAATGGAAGGAGAAAGAGGGAGAGAGGGAAGGAAGAAAGAAAGAGAGAAGGAAGGAAGGACGAAAGGGTGAAAGGGAAGGATGGAAGGGAAAAGAGGAAGGGAAGGGAGGGAAGGAAGCGAAGAAGGGAAGGATGGAAGGAGAAAGAGGGAGGGAAAGGAGGGAGGAAAGAAAAGGAAGGAAAGACAAAAAGGAAGGATGGAAAGGGAAGGAGGAAGGAAAGAGGGAAAGAAGGATGAAAGCGAAGAAGGGAAGGATGACAGGAGAAAGAGGGAGAGAAGGAAAGTGGGAGGAAAGAGAGAAAAAGGGAGGACAAAAGGGAGGAAGGGAAGGATGGAAGGAGAAAGAGGGAGAGAGGGAAGGAAGAAGGATAGAGAGAAGGAAGGAAGCAAGGACGAAAGGGTGGAAGAGAAGGATGGAAGGAAAAAGAGGAAGGGAAGGGAGGGAAGGAAGGAAGGATGAAAGTGAAGAAGGGAAGGATGGAAGGAGAAAAGGGGAGAGAAGGAAGGAAGAAGGAAAGAGAGAAGGAAGGAAGGAAGGACGAAAGTTGTTGCAGGGAAGGATGGAAGGAAAAAGAGGAAGGGAAGGGAGGGAAGGAAGGAAGGAAGTGAATAAGGGAAGGATGGAAGGAGAAAGAGGGAAGGAAAGGAGGGAGGAAAGAAAAGGAAGGAAAGACAAAAAGGAAGGATGGAAGGGGAAGGAGGAAGGAAAGAGGGAAGGAAGGATGAAAGGGTGTAAGAGAAGAAAGAGGGAGAGAGAAGGAAGGAAGAATAAGATGGAGAGAGAGGAGGGCCTGAGAAAAGAGCCCAAGGGGCCGCATCGGGGCCCCAGGCCCGGGTTTGCCCATGCCTGTATGAAACTTGTTTTGCCAAAAGTTTTGGACTTCTGCTCCCATAATCCCCAACTATGGAGGCTTCTGAAAGCTGAGGTCCAACATTCGTGGTCTTGTCTACTGAAATATTACCCAGAGTTTCGAACTCTTGCGGGGGATTATGAGAGTTTTAGTCCAAAATGGCAACTTTGCTGTGTCTTTGTTGTTTTTGTGCTTCATCCACACTCCTAAACCGGTTGGACACTTCTTCCCTTGGAGGGATGGTTACGCCAAAGAAACCGGTTGGACTGCAACTCCCATTGCCCAACCCACGTCTGGCATTCAACCCATAGTTTTCTTGTGCCAACTTGTTGTCAAGAGATCCTTTTCATCCCTTGTCTTCATCAGGTCTGAATGGGCTGAACGAAAGGTGTGCACAGAAATTAAAAGAGGAATAATATGCCAGTGCTTTGATGAATCCCAAAGTGTTTTTATTCATAGGGAGAAATGCATTATGGGTATCGGTGAAACTTTTATTATAGAAACAAATCCCCACTCCACTTTTTCATCCTCATCGTCTGTCCAGCTGGATGCCAGGTTAACCCCAAAAAACTCTGCTCTAGATGCAACATGGGTAGGGTTCAGTGTGCTCTGTGGCTGCAGGGTAAACTACAACTCCCACTATGGTGACCCCATCCCCTCAAGTCATGGGGGTTCTGTGTGTCAAGTTTGGTCCAAGTCCATCGTCAGAGGAGGTCACAGTTTCTCTCGTTATGGGTGAACTACAACTCCCAGAAAGGAAGGTCAGTTCCCCCCAAACTCCTCCAGTATTCAAATTTCGGCATATCAGGTATATGTGCCAGGTTTGGTCCAGATCCATCGGTGTTTGTGTTCACAGTGGTCTCTGGTAATAGGTGAACTACAACTCTCAACAAATCAAGGTAAATTTTCCCCAAATACCTCTAGTATGTTTTGCTGGTCATGGGGGCTCTGTGTGCCAAGTTTGGTTCAATTCCAACATTGCTGGAGTTCAGAGTGCTCATTGATTGCAGGTGAACTATAAATCCCAGTACTTACAACTCCAAAATGTCCAGGCCAATTCCCCTCAAAACCCACCAGTATTCAATATGTGGCGTGTCAGGTATGCATGGAAAATTTGGACTAGATCCATTACAATATTGTTTGGGTTGATAGTGTGCTCTGGATGTAGGTGAACTACATCTTCTCTAAATCCCTCCAAAGACCTCCAATATGTTTTGTTGGTCATAGGGCTTCTGTGTGCCAAGTTAGTTCCAGGTCCATCATTGGTGAAGTTCAGAGTGTTCTTAGATTGCAGGTGAACTATACATCCCAGAACCTACAACTCCTATAAATCATGGTGAATTCTCTCCAAACCTCTCTAGTGTGTTTGAAAGGGTCTTTGAGTGAAATTTCCAAATGCTAAGCAAGGGGCTTTGAATGAAATTAACAGCAAAAGAGAAATATACCCTTTCTCTGTAGAAAAAAAGCAACACTGAAGAAAATGTTTTTAAGAAACAAGATGTGACATGTAGAGGTCATACAAAGTTCAAGCCTACATAGGGAGTAGTTGTGTTGTGGTTAAGCCAAAGGTTGTGGTTAAGCGCAGAGTCTGCAGGTACAAGAAGGTGCTTTCCATCAAAAGGTCAAGGGAGAGGGGCTAGAAAGAGAATACTTTCCATGACCAAAAAATGTTCTTGTTTACTTGAGGGTATATAACGGTGTACAAAAGCCAACAAGGGGGGGGGGGGGGCGGCAGTCACTTGAAGGGTAGCATCTGCGTATGCTGCCAGGCTGTCCGTCTTCTTCATGAAGAAACTAAAATAAACCTTGTTTTTTGATCTTTTTTTGGGGACTGTCTCCTTCCTTATGTGCGCCCGTGATGTGGACCTAAGAAGACTCAATTTAGGGTCTCTAACATGTTCAGTCGCTGATCAATTCTTCTCTCTGCTGTGTGTCATAGAAAAGAATAGGATAGGGGAGAGGCAGTGGGTAGGGTCATGCAAATTCCACACCAACTGAGAGAGGAAGAAACACTGGGATGTCTGTGGTGGAGGAAACACATGAAATCTAGGATGAAATTGTTCCTATTTGAAAGCCTTCACTTGGGCGGTGGGCAGTGTGGTGTTTGTGGAGGACATTAGCAGGGCTCTTGAACATGTTTACATCCCTCACTATAACCTGCAATGTCATTGGAAAGAGGGCCTTTGGTGTCTCCTGAGTAATGGGAGCTATAGCTATTTGTGGAAGTGGGAGCCTGTCTGTGTAAGTGGACACACACACACACACACACATATATTTTCACTTTTATTGTGTGTATAGATTATTACCTACAATAAAAATGGCAATAAACCTTGAAGTGGCAAAGATTTCATGTATGCACACGGTTAGTTAAGAAGGAAAAGTCTATGAGAATTCTCCTCTTTTTCCCTCCTCTTCAATTTCCTCATTCTCTCTCTTTTCCCTTCTCTTCTTCCTCCTTTATTCTTTCCCCCCATTTCTTTCCTTCCATCTTCCTCTTCTTCGTCTTTTCCCTCCTCCTCTTCTTCTCTCCCCCAAATAGGCTGGATGGCCATCTGTTTGGAGGGCTCGGATTGTGGCGTCAGATTGGATGGTCTTTAGGGCTTCTTCCAACTCTGTTGATTCAGCGCAAAAAGTCACTTTTCAGAAGCCAAAGAACCCACCCAAGCCGTTCAATGAAGGGGTAATGAGTGTGGGACTTTAGGATGATCCTACGGGATACTTGTTGTCTATAGTAAGCAGAGTGCAGCAGAGCCAACAGGAGGCTGGATGGTCCTCTTTAAGGAGTGTTTTAGTTGTGCCATCCATCATAGCAGAATGGGGTTGGACTAGATAGCCCTTGTTGCAAGGTTGTGTTATTCTGTGACCTTATAGCAGTTGGTTGTTTCTTTTAATACCCATTTCCTTTTCTTTTGTGGGTGACAAAGGCTAAGACAACAAAGCAGAAGGTTTGCAGAGAGGTTGCTGAAGTTACTTGGATCAGAAACAAAGGCATCGAATGCTCTTTCTTGGTCGCTTCATACAGTCAGAAGGGATCCCAGTGGCCATCTAGTCCAACCCTCAGTTGTTCAGGATGGCACCGCAAAGGCATGTTGCTATATAAGAGGTGGCTAAAGCTGTTTGGGTGGGAAGCAAAGGCATCTAATGCTGTTGAAGGCTTTCACAGCTGGAATCACTGGGGTGTTGTTGTATGGTTTCTGGACCGTACCGCTGTGTTTTAGCGGCATTTTCTCAATTTTGTGAATATTTCATAGAATCATAGAATCATAGAATCAAAGAGTTGGAAGAGACCTCATGGGCCATCCAGTCCAACCCCCTGCCAAGAAGCAGGAATATTGCATTCAAATCACCCCTGACATTTTCATGATTATATTTGCAAATATTTTTTGAGAATAGTTTCATGATTAGTTTTGAGAATAGTTTCATGATTAGTTTTGTGAATATTTTCTTGATTATTTTTGTGAATATTTTCATGATTCTTTTTGGGAATATTTTCATGGTTATTTTGGGGAATATTTTTGCAAAGATTTTTGTGATTATTTTTGTGAATATTTTCATAATTATTTTCGTGAATAGTTTCCTGATTAGTTTTGTGAATATTTTCTTGATTATTATTTTTTTGAATGTTTTCATGATTCTTTTTGGGAATATTTTCATGGTTTTTTGGGGGAAATATTTTTGCAAAGATTTTTGGGATTGTTTTTGTGAATATTTTCATAATTATTTTTGTGAATAGTTTCCTGATTAGTTTTGTGAATTTTTCATTATTATTTTTGTGAATATTTTTGCAAATACCGTTGTGATTATTTTTGTGAATAATTTTGCGAATTTATTTGTGAATCCTTCTTGTGATTATTTTTATGAAAAAAATTTAAAGAAATGTTTGTGAAAATTTTTGTGAACATTTTCATGATTATTTTGTGAATATTTTTGTGAATAATTTTGTGAATATTTTTATGAGTATTGTTATAATTATTTTGTGATTTTTTTTTTTTTTGCAAATATTCACATGAATATTTTTGGCAAATATTTTTGTGAATATTTTGTGAACATTTACATGATTATTTTTTGTTAATTCATTTCATTTGTGTGAATGGTTTATTTTCTCTGATGTTTCACCTGCATCTGTGGCCGGCATCTTCAGAGGATGCAGGCGTAACGGCAAGAGAAAACACTGTGAGAAAATGGCCATACAGCCCAGAAACTGCACAACACCCCAGCATCCAGTGCTGTTTCTCAGGCATTTCCTAGAGTCCTAGAGTCAGATGGGACCCCAGGGTCATCTAGTCCAAAGTGTGTCACTTCAGTAAGCAGCTTGGGATTGGCATTGAAGACATCTAATGCTCATTACTTGGCTTTTCGGAGACCTGGTTGAGGTCACTTTTGCAAGCCTTCTCCGACATGGCTCCCTTGTCCTGCTTCTTGGCCTTCTTCGGCATGTCAGACCAAATCTTGGTCAGTACCTCAGCTGTCTCTTGGGCTCCACTTTCGTCCACCTTGTCCTTCGCCGCTGATAAGAGCCCTCCAGATGCCTTTTCCGTCTCTTTCAGCGGTTCTCCAGTGTCTGCTTCCATTATCTCTTCCATCTTCTGGTCATCAGGATGGGATGCTTCCTCTCCATTGGGGTCGATGTGGGACGAGGGCCGGAAGGGCCCCACGACCCAGTTCAGCGGCGCGGCCTGGGCGATGTGCTTGACCAGGGCATCCAGGCACTCCCGGGCCTGGACGACTGTCTTGTGGCCTTGGGCCAGGACGCTGGCGGGGAGGTCGTGAATGGAGGAGGCCATGGAGAAGGAGGCGTGGAGCTGGTGGGCATTGCGGAGGGCCTGGTCCACCCTGTCGCGGAGGCTGCGGGGGAGGCCCTCCAGGACCCCTGCCAGGCGCAGGGAGGCTGGACCCAGGTCCCGGGTCACGAAGCGCAGCAGGGCCAAGGCACGAGGCTCCACCTGCCATCAGGGAAACAGGATTTACTGGCATCCAAGAGTCAAAATCCTTGAGTTGTAATCATAGAATTATAGAGATAGAAGAGACCCCAAGGACCATCCAGTTCAGTGCCATAAGATTGAATTTTTGTGTGTGTCAGGAGCAACTTGAGAAACTGCAAGTCACTTCTGGTTGATGAATAAAGCTAAATAGATAGGCAGACAGACTGATAAGGTAGGTAGGCTGATAGGTAAACAGACAGAAAACAGACAGGCAGACAGAAAGCTAGATAGATAGGCTGTTGAATAATTGGATAGATGGATGGATAGATAAGAGAATCATAGAGATAGAAGAGGTCCCAAGTACCATCCAGTTCAGTCCTCTAAGAACGATGAAGAGATAGATAAATAGATAATAGCCATAGACAGATAAAGTAGGTAGACAGATAGGTAAACAGACAGTCAACAGATAGATAGATAGATAGATAGATAGATAGATAGATAGATAGATAGATAGATGAATCATAGAGATAGAAGAGCCCCCAAGGACCATCCAGTTCGGTCCCCTAAGAGCAGAGAATAGACAGACAGACAGATAGAGAGGCAGATAAGGTAGGGAGACAGATAGGTAAACAGACAGACAGACAGACAGTAGAATCATAGAGATAGAAGAGATCCCAAGGACCATCCAGTTCAGTCCCATGATTGATTAATAGAGCTAGATAGATAGGCAGACAGACAGATAAGGTAGGTAGCCTGATAGGTAAACAGACAAACAAGTCACAGACAACTAGATAGGCTGTTAAATACATAATTTGATGGATGGATAGATAGATAGACAGACAGACAGACAGATAATAGAATTATAGAGACAGAAGAGACCCCAAGGACCATCCAGTTCAGTCCCCCAAGATGAATAGCTAACTAGCTAGATAGATATACAGAAAGGCAGATAAGGTAGGTAGGTAGGCAGATAGGTAAACAGACTGACAACAGATAGATCGATAGATAGATAGATAGATAGATAGATAGATAGATAGATAGATAGTAAATAGATGGATAGATAGATAGATAGATAGATAGATAGATAATAGAATCACAGAGAAGAGATCTCAAGGACCATCCAGTTTACTCCCCTAAGATTGATGAATAGAGCTAGATAGATGGATAGATGGATAGATAGATAGATAGACAGACAGAAAGACAGATAAAGTAGGTAAGCAGATAGGTAAACAGACGGACAACAGAGAGGGTGGAGGGGGAGAGAGAGAGATAAGCTGTTGAATGGTTGGATAGATAGTTTGGTGGTTGGTGGGTTGGTGGTGAGTGGGTAGATTGATGGACAGACAGATAGTCTGTTGAATAGCTGGATAGATAGTTTGGTGGGTGAGTGGGTCAATGGATGGACAGACAGACAGACAGACATGCTGAATAGGTGGATAGATAATTTGGTGTATAGATAGCTAGACAAGACAGACAGACAGATAGGTGGGCTGTTGAATAGCTGGATAGATAATTTGGTGGGTGGATAAATGGATGGATGGATAGTAGACAGAGAGGTTGCTGGATCGCTGCCTAGACAGTCTGGTAAGGAGATGATGATAGATGGATGGATGGATGATAGAATCATAGAGTTAGAAGAAAACCCAAGGGCCATCCAGTCCTGCCCCCAAAACAGATATATGGATGGATGGATAGATGGATAGATGATGGAATCCCAGAGCTGGAAGAGAACTCAAAGGCTATTCAGTCCAGCTTCTAAAATTGATAGATAGATATAAACAGACAGATGGATTATAGAATCCTAAAGCTGAAAGAGTACCCAAATGCCATCCAGTCCAGCCCCTAAGATAGATAGATGATAGATAGACAGACAGACAGACAGACAGACAGACAGATAGATAGATAGACAGACAGACTGACAGACTGATATACAGACAGATAAATGGAATGGGGAAGGTCCAGGTTCCGCCAAAATACCTCGGATGGGAGGTCTTCCTCGGCAATGTCTCCCCGTTGCGTCTGGGTCCATTCAGCCACCAGACGGTTCAGTTTCTGCTGTGCATCTTGGACCCGCTGCCCTACACCTTGTTTGAGCTGCTCAACCTTTCAAGGCAGGCAGAAGGGTGGGAAAGTGCAAGAGAAACAATATTAGAGAATAATCATATTTATTTATATTGCACTTTAGCCGAGACTCAAAGCAGCGAGAAGAAGCACCCTATGGATTTTTGCGGACTGTTGCTGTCAAACGAATGCAGCTCAGCCCCGCTCCGTTAATGATGACCCGTTATTTAGGGGGAACCACTACCCCTGATCAAGCCAAGTATGAATTATTATTATTATTATTATTAGACTGACTTACAAGGCTGATGACTTGCTGGAGCTGGGAGAGCCGATCCTGGGTGCATTCCTTCATGTGCCGAAGCTTGGTCAGCGAATGCATGTAGGCACGGTGGCGGACTTTGCTGGAGAGGGAGCCCAGGCGCACAAAGTAGCCCTGTTGCCCCTCTGCCGGCCCAAAGCCTTGGACTTCGGCGGCCAGCTGAGCTGCAAAGAGGGAGAGAGACAGATGGAGAAAAGGGGTCCCTATTTCCACCTGCAAAATGTTGGATAGGTGGGGATGGAGGGGCTCTTCGATTGTAGGTGAACTACAAATCCCTGCAACTACAACTCCCAAAATGTCAAGGACTATTTTCCCCAAACTCCACAAGTGTTCACATTTGGTCATGTTGAATATTCGTGCCAAGTTTGGTCCAGATCCATCATTGTTTGAGTCCACAGTGCTCTCTGGATGTAGGCGAACTACAACTCCAAAACTCAAGGTCAATGCCCACCAAACCCTTCCAATATTTTCTGTTTGCCATGGGAGTTCTGTGTGCCAAGTTTGGTTCAATTCCGTTGTTGGCAGAGTTCAGAATGCTCTTTGATTGCAGGTGAACTACAAATCCCAGCAACCACAACTCCCAAATGACAAAATCAACCCCCCACCCCAACCCCACCAGTATTCAAATTTGGGCGTATCGGGTCTTTGTGCCAAATTTGGTCTAGTGAATGAAAATACATCCTGCGTATCAGATATTTACATTACGATTGATAACAGTAGCAAAATGACAGTTATGAAGTAGGAAGGAATTTTATGGCTGGGGGTCACCACAACATGAGGAATTGTATTAAGGGGTCGCAGCATGAGGAGGGTTGAGAACCCCTGTTCTAGATGAATAGCTTTCTTGTCTCCGTTATGCCCTGATATTAAAGTTACACAGCTTTACTTTCTCCTTGATGCTCTAACTTTTAAGATGTGCAGCAATATTTTCTCCTTGATCCTCGGACTTTCAAGGTGCGTGATTTTCCTTTCTCCCTGATTGTCTGGCTTTCTTGATGTGTGGTATACTTGTTTTGGACACAGAAAGGTGTCATCATCTGACTTTGCTCTGACGCCGATAAAAATACGCCTTTGATCATCCCACGTTGTTTTCCGAGCCAAACAACGTGACTGCAAATGAGGGCCATCATTATGCAAATCCTCTTTTTTGAGCAATCATCATAACCTCACAGAATCTGGAGCAAGTCAAAGATCTTGTGTTGCGGGGGGGGGGGGGTCAGCCTACATTGGAGAATGAATGTAGTTCAACCTTGTCAAAGGCTCTATGCTGTGGGATCCTGGGAGTTGTAGTTTGCACTCTTGGGCAGACTTTCTAGAACAGTGGTTCTCAACCTATGGGTCCCCAGATGCTTTTGCCTACAACTCCCAGAAATCCCAGCCAGTTTACCGGCTGTTAGGATTTCTGGGAGTTGAAGGCCAAAACATCTGGGGACCCACAGGTTGAGAACCACTGTTCTAGAAGAATAGCTTTCCTTTCCCCTTGATGCTCTGGCTTTCTAGATGCTCAACTTTCCTACAACTCCCAAAACTGGAGATGATGGGCCTGAGAGCCGCCAACCCCTTTTGGCCTTACCCAACTCTGGTTCCGTCAAGGGGAGGTAATAGTCCACCATCTCCTCTGTTTTCTCCAATGCAGCATCCACTCCGGTGGCCACCATCTGCCGCAGGAACTGGGTCATCTCGAGCCCTTCTTGGGCAGCCCCTGCCTGCGCCACTTGACCACTCACCACCAGGTCCTTGGTGCCAACGGCAGCCTGCAGAGCGGTGCTGACGGTGGAGGAGACCACTGCCTTGGCCAAGTCAGCGCTCTCCTTGGCCGTCTCTCGGCTCAGCTGCAGGACGTCTGCTGCCCGGTGTGAGACGATGGCCTTGGCATCGCCGGCGGCAGTCAAGGCGGTCTGGACTGTGGCATCCATCACTGACTTGGTCAGCCCCACACCGTCCTGGATTATGTCCCTCGTCAGGTCCACGGCGGCAGTCACTCGGTGGACTACGAGGTCCTTGGCCCCATTGGCGGCCTCCTTGGCCGTGGCGACCGTGGAGCCCACCACTGTTTTGGCCAAGACGACCCCTTCCTCGATGACCTGGAGGGAGATCAGTGGAAGGTCACATAAGGATCCTAGAGTTGGAAGGAACCCTCAAAGGCCATTCATCCAGGAAAGAAGGCATTATCTGATCCCTCCCGACAGATGGCCATCCAACATAAGAGATATTAGCAGGTTCATGCTATAGAGTAGGTATGGACAAACCCAGGCCAGGGAGCCAGAAGCAGCCCTTTGGGCTCTTTTCTCAGGCCCCCTCTCTCTCAACATCCTTCCTTCCTTCCTTCCTCTTTCCCTCCCTCTTTCTCCTTCCCTTGCACCCTTTTGTCCTTCCTTCCTCTCTTTCCTTCCTCCTTACTTCCATTCCTTCCTTACCTACCTGTTTCTCTCTACCTCCTTCCTTCTCTTCCACCCTTTCATCCTTCCTTCTCTCTTTTCACCTTCTTTCCCTCTCTCCCTCTTTCTCATTCTTTCCTTTCCTTTTGTCTTTCCTCCCTCTCTCTTTCCTGCCTCCATTCCTTCCTTCCCTCCCTCTTTCTCTCTCTCCCCCCATTCCCTTCCATGCTTTCATCCTTCCTTCCCTCTTTCCTCCCTCCCTCCTTCCCTCTCTCCCTAATTTGCATTCCTTCCTTTCTTCCCTTTTGTCTTTCCTTCTCTTTTCTTCTTCCCCTCCTTCCCTCCCTCCCTCTTTCTACCTTCCTCCATTCCCTTCCACCCTTTCCTCCTACCTTCCTTCTCTCCTTCCTTCTTTCCTTCCTTCCTTCCTTCCTTCCTTCCTTCCTTCCTTCCTTCTCTTCTTTCCTTTCTTCCCTTTTTCCTACCTCCTTCCCTTCCTTCCATTCTTCCCTTCCACCCTTTCATCCTTCCCTTTTATCTTTCCTCCTTCCTTTGCTCTCTCCCTCTTTCTCCTTCCCTTCCTTCCTTCCCTCCCTCCCTCCCTTCCTTTCCTTTTATCTTTCCTTCCTTCCCTCTTTCCTCCCTCCTTCCCTCTCTCTCTTTCTCCTTCCATTTTCCCCTTCCTCCCTTTCATCCTCCCTTCCTTCTCTCTTTCCTTCCTCCTTCTCTTCCTCCCTTTTGTTCTGTCTTCCTTCTCTCTTTCCTTTCTGCTTCCCTCCCTTCCTTCCATCACTGGGCAGTCAGTCCTCTTAGCAGGGAATGCTAGTATATGTCCCCTAAGTTAGACAGTTTGCCCATACCTGATATAGAGAAATAGGGCTATAGCATGAAAGACCCCAAGGGCTATTCAGTTCAACTCCATTCCTGCCAGGCAGGAAGACACCATCAAAGTCTTCCCGACTGATGGAAATTGAACATCCAAATCTCCAGAGAAAGAGAGTTTTGACAAAGTAGATTATGACACTGATCTCTAGGCACTATCCTCCTATGGATGCAGTCTCAAATATTGTTTATTTTAGTGTTGAGTTATTTTTGACAGTGTCTGGATTTATAATTATTTGTTTCTATTTTCTTTGTTGTCAGCCACTCCGAGTCCCTTCAAGGAGAGGGAGGGGGGTACGAATAAAACATTATTATTATTATTATTATTATTATTATTATTATTATTATTAGAATCACATTGGCCTTTTTCGCTGCTGCATCACACTCTTGGCTCACGTTCAGCCCGCAGTCTAGTGAGATGCCTAGATCCCTGTCACATGGAATGCTGTCTTGTTATAGGCAACGAAGTCTAGTTACCTGATGCGCCGGCTGATGGAGACAGGGGATTGTTTCCTCCAGTTTATCCAGCCCCTTGCAGGCGTACTGGTTGGCCACTGCGACTGAGCAGAAAGGAACGAGATGCTGGTTATGACAAGGCACCAAACTGCCCTGGATGGACAGTGTAGACCAGGGGTCCTCAAACTTTTTAAACAGAGGGCCAGGTCACAGCCCCTCAAACTGTTGGAGTGCTGGATTATAATTTTAAAAAATGAATGACTTCCTATACACATTGCACATATCTTATTTGTAGTGCAAAACACACTTAAAACAATAATAAAAATGAAGAACAATTTTAACAAATATAAACTTATTAGTATTTCAATGGGAAGTGTGGGCCTGCTTTTGGCTGATGAGATAGGATTGTTGTTGTTGTGTGATTTCAAGTCATTTCAGACTTAAGTTAACCCTGAGTGAGGGTTGGGTAAATGACCTTGGAGGGCCCCCAGGCCTTAGTTTGGGGACCCCTGGTGTAGACAGTGCGCCATTAGCTTTTGTAATGTGATTGTACTCACTCTGGGGCTCGAGGTGGTTGAGGATGGGCTGGGCACCCCCCACGGCGCTCCCGAAGGCCACCGCCACCACCATCTCGGCCACATTACAAGCAGCGTTGACGTATGGGAAGGTCTCCTTGGCGTAATTGTACACAGTGGAGCAGAGGTCGTAGGTTGAGCTGACCAAGGGGAGGCTGGTGATCCGGGTCATGACACTCTGACGGAAAGAGGAACAGAAGGATCAGAAAGGGTCTTTTGAGGCCATTTAGACCAACCCACTGCCCAAAGCAGGTTCTCCGAGGAACATCAAACCATAAAGAGTTGAATGGGCTCTCTTGAATCCATCTAAACAAACCTTCTGCTCAATGAAGGATTCCACAGGAAAATAAAACCATGAAAGAGTCGGGTGGGCTCTCTTGAATCCATCTAGACCAACCTGCTGCCCAAAGCAGGATCTCCCAGGAACATCAAACCATAAAGGAATCAAATGGTTTCCCCTTTAGGACATCTAGACCAACCCCCTGCTCAATGAAGGATCTCCGAGGAACATTGAGCCATAAAAGAGTCAAATGGGCTCCCTTGAGGCCCTCTAGACTGGAGACCCGCCCCTTCTCTATAATAATAATAATAATAATAATAATAATAATAATAATAAACCTTTATTTATACCCCACTAACATCTCCCGAAGGACTTGGTGCAGCTTACAAGAGGCCGAGGCCCAACACAGCAGTAAACAACAACATAACAAATACAACAATAAATAAACTCATAAAAAGAAAACAATAAGCATTAAAACAATAATACCCATAAGACAATAACACCACGGCGCATTTAAAACTAAGGCCGGACCAAATGTAATGATTAAAAATTTTAAAAATGCTGGGCATGACCAGGTGAAATGAATAAGTTTTTGGAGATAGGTGCGGTATGTAGACAATCTTAAATCTCTAGTAAAGTGCATTTGGGACATGATGCTTGGAGTTTCCTATTCTGGGAAGGCACACTGGAACAGCCACATCTTCAAGCTCTTCCTGAAGACTGCCAACATTGGGGCTTGTCGGATGTCCTTGGGGAGAGAGTTCCAGAGTCGGGGTCCACCACAGAGAAGGCCCTGTCCCTCGTTCCCACCAATCGCTCTTGCGACGCAGGTGGGATCGTGAGCAGGGTCTTTCCAGTTGATCGAAGAGATCGTGTGGGTCCATATATGGAGATACGGTCACGTAGGTAGGCGGGTCCCAAACTGTTTAGGGCTTTGTAGGTAAGCACCTGCACCTTGAATTGGGACCGGAAAATGAACGGCAGCCAATGGAGCTCCTTAAACAGGAGGGTTGACCTCTCTCTGTAAGGGGCACCAGTTAACAACCTGGCCGCCGCCCATTGGACCAGTTGGAATTTCCGGGCCGTTTTCAAGGGCAGCCCCATGTAGACTGCATTACAGTAGTCCAATCTGAAGGTGACCAAGGCATGGACCACCCTTCTCTAGGCTGTCAGTTCCATTGACAAACTACTCCCACCATCAAAAATTATCATTCTCCTGTTCAGTTGAAATCTATGCATTTTTTTTTTAAAACCTACCTCTGTCTTTGGGGCCTCTTGGCTCTCTCCTTCGGGTTGGGCAGCCATCGCAATGTAGAATGCAACTGCAAAGAAAGCACCAGAAGAACCAAATAGTCAGTCTTTCCCTTTGGTCTCCATGTTAACAAATATGTGGGAAGTTTCGCTCTGCGGCTGGACCAGGTTTGCGGATTCGAATCCGCCCCAAAGTGCCAATTATATCTTATCCAGGGCAGGATGTTTATTTGTTTCCTCATCATCCCAATAGGTCAGTTCTCATTTCGCATGCAGAGCAGCTGGAGCAATACAATTGGAACGGATCCCCGGAAAGTCATGCAATCTAAGGCACCATCCAAGCCCTCCCGACTGAGATGCTTTCTAACCCACCAGCTCCACCATCCAGTCTCAAGGCTTGGAATATTCATGACTTAAAGGATATAGCAATGCATTCCTCCATTTATAATAACACCTGTATAGCAAACAGGTATAACCTGTCGGATTGGGGTCTATTGTGGATTTCAAAAAAAGAGATGGTATATTTCCAAATGGCTTCCATCTTGGGCAATACTACAACTTCCAGGATTCCATGGCATATAGGATCAAAGTTGGAAGGGAGCCCCAAACATCATCTAGACCAACCCCATCTAATCCCTCCCAACAGATGGCCATCCAACTCATAGACTTTACTAGGTTCATGGGGAAATAGGGCTACAGTTGGAAGAGACCCCCAAAGGCCATCCAGTCCAACCTTGTTCCGAAAGCCACCATTCAAGCACTCCTGACAGATGACCATTCAGGCACTCCTGACATATGGCCATCCAACCCATTTTCATGGGGAAATAGAGTTGGAAGGGATCTCCCCCAAGGCCATCCAGTCCACCTCATTGAGAATCCACCATTCAAACACTAGAGTTGGAAGGGACCCCCAAATGCTATCCAGTCCAACCACTTTCTGGAAGCCACCATTCAAGCACTCCCAACAGATGGTCATCCAATACATCTTAATGGGGAAATAGGCCTAGAGTTGGAAGGGACCCCCAAGGGACATACAGCCCAACCACTTTCTGGAAGCCACCATTTAAAACACTCTTGAAAGATGGCCATTCAACAGAACTTCATGGGGAAATAGGGCTAGAGTTGGAAGGGACCCCCAAAGACCATCCAGTCCAACCTTATTCCGAAAGCCACCATTCAAGCACTCCTGACAGATGACCATTCAGACACTCCTGACATATGGCCATCCAACACATTTTCATGGGGAAATAGCACTAGAGTTGGAAAGGACCTCCCCCAAGGCCATCCAGTCCACCTCATTGAGAATCCACCATTCAAAGACTAGAGTTGGAAGGGACCCCCAAAGGCTATCCAGTCCAACCACTTTCTGGAAGCCACCATTCAAGCACTCCCAACAGATGGTCATCCAATACATCTTAATGGGGAAACAGGCCTAGAGTTGGAAGGGACCCCCAAAGGCCATACAACCCAACCTATTTCTGAAAGCCACCATTTAAAACACTCTTGAAATATGGCCATTCAACAGAACTTCATGGGGAAATAGGGCTAGAGTTGGAAGGGACCCCCAAAGGCCATCCAGTCCAACCTCATTCTGAAAGTCACCATTCAAGCACTCCTGACAGATGGCCATCCAACACATCTCAATGGGGAAATAGGGCTAGAGTTGGAAGGGACCCCTAAACACCATGCAGTCCAACCCCATTCTGGAAACCATCATTCAAGCACTCCCGACAGATGGCCATCCAAGACAGAGACATAACAAGAAGAATAAGATTATTATTATTATTATTAATGATAATAATAATAATAATAATAATAACCCGCCTTTTCTCCTCGAAGGGACTCCAACACATAGAAATTAGCATCTTCATGGGGAAATAGGGCTAGAGTTGAAAGGGACCCCCAAAGGCCATCCAGTCCACCCTCCATTCCTTGTCATACCAGACCTTACCTGCTCTTTGCTCCTGTTCCAACAGGGACCTTTCCAAATGGGACTCGCAGGCACTTGCTCATTGAAGGCGATTGCCACAGAGAGAGTGGGTGGAAGATGCCAAGGCCAGAATCTCACCTTCCCAGATTTCCATCCAATGGGGAACAGTGCATGGAGGCGGAGATTAGGTTGCACAAGCTGCAGCACAAGGCCCCACACAACACAAGGCCAAGCCCTGCTGGGAACCCAGAAGTAGGTGAAAGGGGAGCGATTCCGCCTGCCGCCACTGGAGGGAGCAATTGCACAAGGTCCAATGGGGCAGCAGAGCCAACCTGGCTTTTGTTCAAGGAGCTCTCCAAGGTGCTGAGCCTATTAACCCAACCCATTGCAAACTACTATGAATTTTAACATATTTTGATATTTTCCTCTCTGTCTTTTAATATCTAATTATTATTACAGTAGATAATAATAATTATCTACTATGTGTGATTTTAACGTGTTTGATCTTTGCCTTATGACTTCTAATAATAATGAAATAATAATAATAATAATAATAATAATAACATAATAGGAATATTATACATTATATAAATATATAATACTATCCCAATAATAAATATGATATATATTAGTGATAATACTATATAATATATATTACTAGTGATCTAATAAAATAATATATATATATATATATATATATATATATATATATAATTTACAATATAATATATAATATTTTATGACAATTTATTTATTTTATTTATCGTGTCAGGGGCAACCAGATAATTGTATTACATTTCTAACAGAACAGAACAAAACAAACAAACAAATAGACAAAACACAAAAATTTCAAGCTTGGTAGTTGATTAAATGTCCTTTGACCAGTAGCTGGCCACTTGGAGTGCCTCTAGTGTTGCCGCAAGAAGGTCCTCCATTGTGCATGTGGCAGGGCTCAGGTTGCATTGCAGCAGGTGGTCAGTGGTTTGCTCTTCTCCACACTCGCATGTTGTGGATTCCACTTTGTAGCCCCATTTCTGAAGGTTGGCTCTGCATCTCATGGTGCCAGAGCGCAGTCTGTTTAGTGCCTTCCAAGTCGCCCAGCTTTCTGTGTGCCCAGGGGGGAGTCTCTCATATGGTATCAGCCATTGATTGAGGTTCTGGGTTTGGGCCTGCCACTTTTTGACTATCATTTGCTGAGGTGTTCCAGCAAGTGTCTCTGTAGATCTTAGAAAACTATTTCTTGATATAAGTCGCTGACGTGCTGGCTGATACCCAAACAAGGGATGAGCTGGAGATGTCACTGCCTTTGTCCTTTCACTATTGGCTGCTACTTCCCGGCAGATGTCAGGTGGTGCAATACTGGCTAAACAGTGTAATTTCTCCAGTGGTGTAGGGCGCAGACACCCCGTGATAATGCGACATGTCTCATTAAGAGCCACATCTACTGTTTTAGCATGGTGAGATGTGTTCCACACTGGGCATGCATACTCCGCAGCAGGGTAGCATAGCGCAAGGGCAGATGTCTTCACTGTGTTTGGTTGTGATCCCCAGGTTGTGCCAGTCAGCTTTTGTATGATATTGTTTCTAGCACCCACTTTTTGCTTGATATTCAGGCACTGCTTCTTGTAGGTCAGAGCACGGTCCAGGGTGACTCCCAGGTATTTGGGTGCGCTGCAATGCTCCAGTGGGATCCCTTCCCAGGTAATCCTCAGAGCTCGGGATGCTTGTCTGTTCTTAAGGTGAAACGCACATGTCTGTGTTTTGGATGGATTAGGGATCAGCTGGTTTTCCCTGTTGTAGGCGGTAAGGGCACCTAGAGATTCGGAGAGCTTCTGTTCTACCATCTCAAAGCTCTCTGCTTGAGCGGTAATGGCACGGTCATCAGCATAGATGAAACTCTCTGTCCCTTCTGGCAGTAGCTGGTCATTTGTGTAGATGTTGAACATGGATGGAGCAAGCACGCTCCCCTGAGGCAGGCCGTTCTTCTGTTTCCGCCCTCTACTTCTCTTGCCTCTGGAACTCAACAAAAAAGCTCCTGTTTTGTAGCAGGTTTCCTATGAGGCGGGTGAGGTGGTAATCCTTTGTGATATTAATACATTTTTCTCAGGAGGAGGCGGTGGTTTACAGTATCATAAGCCGCTGACAGGTCTATGAAGACAGCTCCTGTGATCTGCTGCCTTTCAAAGCCATCTTCTATGTGCTGAGTCAGGTTCAGCACTTGCGATATGCAGCTTTTGCCTTTCCTGAATCCAGCTTGCTGTGGAATCAGACAGGGGTTTATTTTTTCCATAATTCTATGTAAAATAAGTCTCTCCAGAACTTTGTAGAGGTGGCACAACAGGGAGATTGGTCTATAGCTTTTTGGATCATTTATGACAATGATTATAACCAATAAACTTTAATATAATAATATTGTCATATAATTAATGATAAAAATAATATTTAACAATATATAATATTATATAATAATATAATAATAATAAATCTGTCTCTAAACATAATAAAAGTGAAAGTATGTATTTGTGTGTGTGGTTGGGGTGTCTAATTACACAGGCAAGCTTCTACCTCCACAAACAACTGTAACATCCAGTACTCAGGAGACAACAATGGCCCTCCCTCCAATGACATTTCAGGTTATAGCGAGCGCTGTAAACATGTCTAAGAGCCCTGCCAATGTCCTCCACAAATGCCACACTGCCCACCACCCAACTGAAGCCTTTCATATAGGGACAATTTCACCCTAGATTTCATGTGTTTCCTTCACCACAGACATCCTAGTGTTTCTTACTCTCTCAATTGGTGCAGAATTTACATGACCCTGCCCACTGCCTCTCCCTTAACCTTTTCTGAATCTTTTCTATTGCACACAGCAAACAGAGGAATTGATGAGCATTGAACACATGCTGGAGAGATTTGGGGAGAATTCACCATGATTTATAGAAGTTGTAGGTTCTGGAATGTGTAGTTCACCTACAATCTAAGAGCACTCTTAACTCCACCAATGATGGACCTGAAACTAACTTGGCACACAGAACCCCATGACCAACTCAACCTACTGGAAGGGTTTGAGGGAGCTGACTCACCATAATGGGAGTTGTAGTTTACACAACAGCCAGAGAGCACACTGAGTAGTTTTCCTTAATTCTATGTCGTAGGAGGGGCTGCAGACCATGTGATCAGAACTGGGACTGTTCATGACTCAGTCTCCATTTTTGAAACAGTATGCTTTCAGATGCCAGTAGAGGCAGAAGCCATTAGACTCCATTGAACTTTTAGACTAGACAGAGACTCTATTATACTCTCAGAACAGAGAGATGCTTTAGACCAGTGGTTCCCAACCTTTGGGCCTCCAGGTGTTTTGGACTTCAGCTCCCACAGCTCCTAACAGTTGGTAAGCTAACTGGGATTTCTGGGAGTTGTAGTCCAAAACAACTGAAGGCCCAAAGGTTGGGAACCACTGCTTTAGACTACGAGTTGTTGATTATGAGAAAGATGTCCTGTGTTATCTGTACAGAGAAATTACTTCAGATTGATATGCAATGTACCTGTATGCTGAATACATGAAGTTTGTGAGTAAACCAACTATGTTACTTTTAAAGAAGTTTACATATTTTTGTCCCTCGAGATCATGATTTAAACCAAGATGTTTTAAGGGAGAGTAGAGTTTTTTGGGCAACTGAAAGGACACTTCCATATGTGTGTGTATGTGTGTAAAATGAATTGGCATATATTTGTCCCTAATAATTCAAAGAGATATCTAGGTATATCAATTCAACAGCTGAGAAACCGAATTGCCTTGCATGAATGCTAGTGGATATTTACCACTAAGGAGAAAGTTGACTCAAGTGAGTTTTAACTCTTCTTGGGGAGATTCCTGATTTTCCCAAAGTGGTGGTGAATGCCATTTCACAAAAGGTTATGAAGATTTCCATTTCCCGAAAGGTTATGGCATCATTTTGCCAAAAGGTTACGGTTTCTAACAATGCCTTTTCAAAGATCATAATTCTCCAAAAAGGACATGGTTTGATTGTTTTTATTTCCCTCTTCCATCTTTAAAATAAAAGTGACAATGACAACTGCATCGGTGATCATTCGGCGGCGGCCTCCTCCTCGGTGGCACTGGGGCTGCGCACCACGATGGGGATGCGTGCAGCTACGGTGCGGAGGCACCAGGGGAAGTGTGCAGTGGCGCTCAGCTCGTAGCCCACTTCCATGATGTCGTCGTCGGAACGGCGCCCACCAGAGCTGACCGGCAGGACGGGTGGCAAGGCTAAAGCACCTCGGACCCTGGTGACTGGGCAGGATGGTCCCGAACCCACTGGCGATTCCAAACGCGCCACCTCCTCCCGCTGCTCCAGTGTCCGTCGCTCGGCCCTCAGGTTGTAGGCCTTGTAGAGCACCACCGAGTACAAGGCGAAGACCACCTTCTTGAGGGACTTGCCTGTCTCGTTGGAGATCTCTGCCGCAAAGGCGACTTCGTCCCCTGGAGTGAATATGCCCTTCTCCAGGGAGAGGCGCACCGTGACTGGTGCGCTCTGGAAGCAGCAGTTGTACAGCAGCATTTTCCGGATCTCCACCACCAGTGGGAACTGAAAGAGGCAGGAAGGTGAGAGGGTGGCGCATTAGCTGAAATGTGAGGGTGTTAATTAGCCTTCTGCACATATCTAAGAATTGCATTAGTCAGTAAAATTCCATTGTTAATTAGCTTTCTGCGCATGTCTGTAAAATGTTATAACTGGAAGTCCACCCCAGTAGCAGGTGTGGCAGTTCTTTTACTCAGCGTAAGCTGAAACTGTCACCACTATTTTGCAAATAGTAAAGAACTGTACGCAGATGATGTCCAACTCTGTCACTCCTTCCCACCTGCTACTAAGGAGGCTGTCGAGGTCCTGAACCGGTGCCTGGCCGCTGTAATGGTCTGGATGAGGGCGAACAAATTGAAATTGAATCCAGACAAGACAGAGGTACTCCTGGTCAGTCGCAAGGCCGAACAGGGTATAGGGTTACAGCCTGTGCTGGATGGGGTCACTCCCCTTGAAGGCACAGGTTCGCAGCTTGGGTGTGATCCTGGACTCATCGCTGAGCCTGGAACCCCAGGTTTCGGCGGTGACCAGGGGAGCATTTGCACAGCTAAAGCTTGTGCGCCAGCTGCGCCCGTACCTTGGGAAGTCTGACTTGGCCACGGTAGTACACGCTCTGGTCACATCCCGCCTTGACTACTGCAACGCTCTCTACGTGGGGCTGCCCTTGAAGACGGCCCGGAAGCTTCAGCTAGTCCAGCGCGCGGCAGCCATGTTATTAACAGGAGCGGGACGCAGGGAGCATACAACGCCCTTGTTGTTCCAGCTCCACTGGCTGCCGATCTGCTACCGGGCCCAATTTAAGGTGCTGGTGTTGGCCTACAAAGCCCTAAACGGTTCCGGCCCAAAATACCTTGACCGCATCTCGGCCTATGAGCCCACAAGGACCTTGAGATCATCTGGGGAGGCCCTTCTCTCGATCCCGCCTGCCTCACAGGCACGTCTGGCGGGGACGAGAGATAGGGCCTTCTCGGTGGTGGCCCCCCGGCTGTGGAACGCCCTCCCTGTAGATATCAGACAGGCGCCCTCCCTTATGGCATTCCGCAAGAGCCTAAAGACATGGTTATTTGAGAAGGCGTTTGACTAAGTGCTACAATAATTGGTAATGACGATCGGAACGGAATATGGATAACGAGTTTGGTTTATGATTCTACAATGAGACGGCGCGGATGATTTAGTGTAATGGTATTATTGATTGTTATGTTGATTTTGTTGTGATATTGTCTATTGTAAACTGTTTTTATATGTTGTACACCGCCGTGAGTCGCCCTAGGGCTGAGAACGGCAGTCAACAAATGCAGTAAATAAATAAATAATAAATAAAGAACTGAAATCCAAATCTGCTATCTGTCTCTTCCTTCGGCTGCACTCAAAACAAACTTCACAGGCAGATTTCCCCAACAGAAAAGGCCAATGCGATTCTAGGCTGCGTCAATAAGAGGATCGTGTCTACATCAAAAGAAGTCATAGTCCACGTGAAAGGTGTCTTAGTTGAACCACAAGCTGAACATGAGTGTCAAGAGTGTGATGCTGCAGCTAAAAAGGCCAATGTGATTCTAAGCTGCATCAATATGAATATAGTGTCTAGGATGGATAACACTTGGCTTCTAGGAGTCTTAGGAGACCCCAAGCCAAACATGAGCCAACAGTGTAATGTGGCTACTAAAAAGGACAATGTGATTCTGGGTTGCATCCATAGAAGTGTAGTGCCTAGCTAGAGGAAGTTGTAGCCTAAGTAAACGGCATCCAGGGGCTAGAGAGGTTTACCTCCGACTCTACCGTGTCCTGTCGGAAGACAGAGGTCCCTTGGACCAAGATGTACTTCTTCTGCTTGCCAAGGATGAGCTCCCGAGTGGCGCAAATGGCTTGGAGGAAGTAGGAGATGCGCCCGACACGGCTCGTGAAAGTGGAGGGGATCCTGGGCGGGAGGATGAAGCGGAAGTCAAAGATGTGGGCGCCTGGGCCCAGCCAGCTCCCTGCGAGGCAGAGGGAATAGAGAAGGTTTAGTAGAGCACCCCGAAAAAGGCCATTGCAAAAGGTATCTACAAGTCTTAGTAGAATCAGAAGCTGAACATGAGTAAAGTGTAGCAGAAAAGGCCAATGCAATTATAGGCTACGTGAATCAAGAGTGTGATGCAGCACCGAAAAAGGCCAATGTCTAGTCTATGATTTCCCTTGACCTAGAGACACTAGTCTCAACATTTCTACCAGCTGTTAGGAATTGTGGGAGTTAAAGTCCAAAATATCTGGAAGTCTGAAATTTGCCCATGACTGGTCTATCTGGTGGACTGGATGGCCTTTGGAGTTTCTTCCAGTTCTAGGAATCAATTTATCTGTCTGTCTGTCTATCTATCTATCTATCTATCTATCTATCAGTATCTATCTATCTCTATCTATCTATCATATTTACTCTAGTCTAATAGTTACCTTTATGCATCCATCTATTTTATTTATTTATTTACTTCGAGCTTTTATAACCCGGTCTTCTCGACCTCCGAAGAGGGACTCAGGCCAGCTAACAGCTTAGGATTAAAATACAATAAGATAAACCACAGTAAACATCATAATACAATAGTACAAAAATACATTAAAATAAAACTCTATCTATCTATCCATTGATCCATCCATCCATCCAGCGATCCATTGATCCATCCATCCATCGAAATTGACAGGATGGCCCTAGGGATCTCTTCCAACTTGTTCTCTCTCTCTCTCTCTCTCTCTCTCTGTCCATCCATCCATCTTAGGGGGGTTGGACTGCATCTATCTATCTATCTATCTATCTATCCACCCATCCATCTATCGAAATGGACAGGATGGCCCTTGGGATCTCTTCCAATTTGTTATCTATCTGTCTACCTATCCATCCATCCATCTTAGTAGCGTTGGACTGGATGGTCCTTGGTCCTCTTTCAACTCCAGAATTCTGTCTGTCTGTCTATCTATCTATCTATCTATCTATCTATCTATCTATCCATCCATCCATCCATCTATCTTTCCTTCCTTCCATCCATCCATCCATGAATCTATCTATCTGTTCATCCACCCACCCACATATTTATCTGTCTGTCTGTGTGAATTTCTGTCTGCCTGCTTGACACCTCTATCTATCAATTATCTTGCTCTATCAGTTTTTCCCTATCTATCTTCTCTATCTGTCTGTCTATCAATCTATCATCCCCCCCACCCCCACCCCCCACCCCAGGTGCCTCACGCTCGATCTTGAAGGTCTTGCTCTTGTGGACGTAGTCAGCCTTGTTGACGCAGGTGCCACGTTGGCTGTAGTCCTTCTCCACGTTGGCCTCCTCCACCCACTCCAGGTAGCCCCGGCCCACCAGCTCCACCTTCACCAGGGGGTCCACCAGGGTGCTGTGTAGGGTCAGGACCAGCTGCCCCGCTACCTCCGACCCAGCTAGGTAGACCTCCTTCGGCACCAGCAGCTCGATGGACTTCACCACCGACATCCAGGAGCCGAGAGGGGGCCTCTCTGCCAGGCCCAGCGTGAGGTCACCTTGGCATGATGATGATGTCACAGCTATTGTGACATCATGTATGGCAGGAAGGAGGACGGGGTTTCTCATCCTTCCAGATGTTGAATAGTTTCAAAGACTCCTAGAATTAGAAGGGGGGCATCCAGTCCAACCCCCTTCTGCCAGGCAAGGAGAAACCATCCAACCCTCCCGACAGATGGTTACTTCAGTTCTGATTATTTATTTATTTATTATTGTCAGTAGAACCATGGAATTCTAGAGTTTGGAAGAAACCCCAAGAGCCATTCAGTTCAACCCCCTTCTGCCAGGTAGGACACCATTCAAACCCTCCCATTGAATGGCCATCCAGGCTCTGATTATTATTTTTTGTTGTTGCTAATAATAATAATACTAATAATAATAATACTATACAGTCTTAGAACTGGAAGAAATCCCATGGGGCATCCAGTCTATCCCCCTTTCGGCAGGTAGGGAGACCTCCTAACAGATGGCCGTACAGATTCTGATTATTATTATGATTATCGTCAATAGAACCATTGAATCCTAGAGTTGGAAGGGACCCAAGGGCCAGTCACATCAACCCCCTTCTGCCAGATAGGACACTATCCAAACTCTCCCGACAGATGACCACCAGACTCTTATTATTATTATCATTGCTATTAGTATTATTATTACCATAGAATCCTAAAGTTGGAAGAGACCCCAAGGGCCATTCAGGAAGACACCATCCAAAACCCTCCTGATATTATTATTATTATTATTATTATTATTTACAATAATACCATAGAATCTTAGAGTTGAAAGGGACCTCCAAGGGCCATTCAGTCAACCCCCTTCTGCCAGGCAGGAGGACACCATCTAATCCTTCCCAAAAGATGGCCATTCAAGATCAGGCTATCCAATTTTTGTGCTATTCAATTGTGGGAATTATAGTTTTGCAAGCAGCCTCACTAAACTACAACACCCAATGTTACCAAACAGCTGGCAAGAACCCCTTATCTCTTTAAACTCCCTTTTTGCGGATTATCAATGGTCCAGAGGAGCCCAGCAGTAGCTACTGGCACCCGGAATATCTTTAAAGACATTTTTCCTTTTTAGTTATATCGTTTCTCTAACCCTCAATAAATGTGCACCAACAGTGTGTTATCCTTTACTTTTGCCTCTTTGTCTCTCCTTTTTGCCTTTTGATTCTTTTGCTCTGGCTTTCACCCTCTGCAGCCAGCCCGATGGCCAAACGGGCCACATGGGCCGTATCAACCCATGGCCCTGAAAACGGGGCTCTCCTTCCCAGTTCTCTCTTGGATTCACCCAATCCTGCATTCACCCAGTCCACACCCACTCTAACCTCCCCCGCGGATACCGAAACCCTTTGGGGTTCTCTCAATATCCGCGGATCTCTTGTGTATGTCTTCCCTTCCTCGTGAAAGGGAAACTACCCATTTGCAGGGTTCCTCCGATATCCACGGACCCTCATGAGTGCGTATTTAATATTTTATATTTCACTATAAAAATCCTTTTGGAGCAGTATGCCACCAACCAAGTCCTTGATATGACCTTTCACCCACATCTCCTGAATCAGAAAGCTCATTCAGCTGTTTTCCTGGGCACTATTTGCATAAGAAGGACTCAAACACCCATCACCTTTGGGTCAGTCCATCTCTACTGGTCCCATAGACCCTCGACTGGGTGAAGGACAACAGGATCCATTCGCAGGGCCATCCATCCTTTGTCTCAGTCACCTGGACATAACAATGCCATTCATCACCTGTTATGACTACCAGTACACCAGGGGTGCTTCCACACAGCCCTATATCTCAGAGTATCAAGGTGGAAAACCCCACAATATCTGCTTTGAACTGAGTTATCCGAGTCAGACAATGTGGGATTTTCTGCCTTGATATTCTGGGATATAGGGCTGTGTGGAAGGTCCTAAAAGATCATGTCCCATTTTCCAACAATGACATTTCTGTCCCGAGCTGCAGATCACCGCTGGCTCACCTGGGATGCTCTTACAGCATCCTGGGGAGGCCAAAACTGCGTTCCTCTTAACCACGGATATGGAAACCCATTGGGCCCCCGTATCCGGGGGTCAATGGATCAACTCCAAATCAGTGCCATCTTTTTCCTAGACTAACTGCTATCTTGCTTTCTGCATTCTGGACTCCCGTGCCCAGGAAAAATCATTTTTGCTTCAATAAACCTCATATGGGAGCTTGCTGCTGACCTCAAGCCATGGCTCCACGCTGCAACAACATACGTGCCTCCATTTTGTGTGTGTGTCCAGGAGCCTGGCAACCCCAAGGAACCTGCTGTGGTCACCCCTTGGGGACCCCAGACCTCTTACAGACCATTCTGGCCCTTGGACGAAATTGGATTTATAGTTTTCTCCTCTTCAGTGAATGAACTTCCACCCTCAGTGCTCACAGTGACACCAGTGTGTTGCCCATGGACATTTATGAACTTTCCCCAACTTTCATGAACTTTTTGGAACTTTTAATCAACTTTTAAAGAACTTTAGAATTTTTAGGAACTCTCTTGCCAAACCCTATGGACTCTTATTACATTCCCCAGTCTTTATGAACTTTTGATGGACTTTGGAGGGAGGGAAGGTTGACATGGTTCCCCCTTGGCTTTGCATGATTAATCCCTTATGAATTCTTTCTATGTTCCATCTCATACCATTATATGTGTGTGTGTATATATATATATTTGAAAAATGAAGGAAACCCACCTTTTTCAGGAATCCAGCACCTCATGGCTTCAGGAAGCATTTCTCAATTTCTGGAGCCGGTAAATCTCTACACAAAGGACTCAACCAAAACTCATTTGCATGAACAAGAAATAAATGGTTCTTATATGAACAGACCTCAGAGGGCAGAAATGCTACTCCATCTGAAAGGATAAGGCCTATGGACATCAAATCACCCAGCACAAAGGGTGTCTTCCTGTCTGCGAGGAATTAGGATTCACCACGGCTACTTTTCATTGTATCAACCCAGCTGGCCGATATCAGCCAAAAATCTCATCAATGGATCCCATATCCAGGACAGAAGGACAACAAAGGACTTAGCCTCTGAGCTAGACGAAAATGTATTTTCAAGAGATATAAAAAATAGCCCTGGCCAGCTTGAGGGCTAAAAAAGCTATCGCTGACTGATTGGACAATCATTAGTCATTTTAATCTTATCATCTTTCCTCTTCATTAATTGTTTCCCGCCTGGACCACCGCCTCTCTTCCCATTGGCAGAGACGCCAAAGACGCTGGCTCTCTGATTGGGCAAGGCGCAGCTGAGCCGGTAGCGCCTCCCAGTCAGCTGATGACTCCAACCAATCAGTGCAAAGCCGGCCACGGGGGCGGGAGCAGGAAATTTGAATTGGACAGCTCTGTATTTCCTATAAAAACTGTGTTGTTTTGCCTTGTGAGTTATGTCGGCTTTTGGGCAAATGATTGCGTTTTGACATCTGTTCCAGCTGGAATGAAATAAACATCTTGGTGTCTTCTTCTTCAACTTGGTGAGATTTATTTGGGGAGAATAGGGAAATTTTCTTTATGGGTGCTCTCTTCTCACCAGGTATCCAGGCCCTCAGACAAAGTCTGAGGCAAGGACTTTGTCTCCCAGACCATCCTACTCCCCCCCCCCCCCCCCCCCCCCCCCCCCGGTCAGCTATTGGAGAGCGGGAATGCTCTCTTATTGGCTGCCGGGCACTGCAGTCCTGCCTCGCTAGCGAATCCCATCCAGCTGATCGTGAGATCAACAGGATTCAGCCAATCATGGTTAAGATGGCTCCAGCTGGGGCAGGAGCGGAAATTTCAAAGGATTGTAATGGTATAAAAATGTCTGTTTTGCACTGTTATAGCATCTCATTTTATTTTGGCGGATTACAATGAGCTGGCACCACTTCAGCTGACTTGAATACACACTTCGGTGGCTTCTACTTCAACTTGGTGAGATTTATTTGGGAACATTATAGTAATATATAATACTAATAGTGTGCTATGCTAATATAATAATAATAATAATAATAATAATAATAATAATATATTGTATATGTTGCACCTCAGCAGGAGTTCACTTTGCTCAAAGCACTCACCAGGAAACCAGTCGTGGTATTAAACAGTTTGGGAGTTGTATTTCACCTACATCCAGAGAGCACTTTGGACTCAAAACCATGATGGATCTAGACCAAACTTGCCACAAATATTCCATATGTCCAAATATGAACACAGATGGAGTTTGGGGGAAATAGACCTTGACATTTGAGATTTGTAGTTACTGGGATTTATAGTTCACCTACAATCAAAGAGCGTTCTGAATCCCACGAACGACAGAAATGGGGCAAATTTCCCACACAGAACCCCCATGACCAACAGAAAATACTTAAGGCCATCCAGTCCAACTCTCCACCAGGGCAAGAAAATGTAATCAGAGCCCTCCTGACAAAGAGCCATCCAGTCATAATAGATAGATAGATATGATTCACACACAGAGAGATATATATAGTGCCATAGATTTGAAAGGGACCCCTAAAGAAGGACTATGATATGTTGCATATTCCAGAGTAGGAAAACCAGACTCTCTCCACATCAACACTGACAAAGAAACAGTAAGAAATACTGTTTACCCACAAGCATAAAGAAATTACATATATTAGAAACCAACACTTTCTCATTACTTTATTTTCCAGATCACCAGACTGGGCCACAGCAACGCGTGGCAGGGGATGGCTAGTCTATATAAATAAAAATGTTCGTTTGTGGGATTAACATAACTCAAAAACCACTGGACGAATTGACACCAAATTTGGACAGCATACACCTAACAACCCAATGTATGTCTTTCACTCAAAAAAAAAAAAAAACATGGATTTTGTCATTTGGGAGTTGTAGTTGCTGGGATTTATAGTTCACCTACAATCAAAGAGCATTCTGAACTCCACCAATGATGGAATTGAACCAAAAGTGGCATACAGGA